ACTTCGAACCCGCTACGCGTTATCGCCCACGTTGACCTGGATGCTTTCTACGCCCAATGCGAGATAGTTCGACTTGGGATTCCCGAAGACAAGCCGTTGGCCGTTCAGCAATGGTGAGTTCAGCGCAATATTTCCTTCGAAACCAGCATGCCATGATTTCATTCTCCTTCCATCACTTGCAAACTCCCCACGCATTACAACACGCGCATTCCCTACTGCAATCTCCATTCCTGTCTCTTGACCCGAGAATCGAGTCAGTCGCTCGATTTTGCCATATACATACAAATACGATTGGACAATTGCGACCAGTTTTCGCCCAGACTTGCGCTGTGTTACCACCTATCGACTGGGAGGATCGTCATTAAAGAAGATCTTAAGACGATCAGTACATGACCAAGGAGAAGAATCATATTATCCCTCTTCAATGCTCGCTAAAAGGGAAAGTATTGGGCTGTCTACACACATGCCAATATTAATCATCACATTCCGCCATAATGCACGCTCTTCTCAACATCAACTTACCTAACGTCTGATTGTTCCTATTGTCTTTCCTCTTTCTTTTTGAATACCCCAGCCTCTCTGTGTGGCTGACTTGAGTAACGCTTGTGTCTCGTCTCATCCTTGTTTTGGTTCTGTCGCCGCATCCTTCTGGACCATTATATGTTGGTCGTCAAATTTGTCACTGCTTTTTCGAAGGACGGTGCGAGAACCCCCGCACTCACAGAAACAGGCATTGTTTGCCACCGTGGAAGTTATATAGAGTCTATGGATGACAGTCCCGAATGACTGCCTACACACACCTGGCAATGACACCAAGATTGGACTAACGTGCAAACAGGCAAGGACTTATCGCTGTCAATTATCCTGCTCGAGAGCATGGCATTGGACGCCATTGTGACGTCGAAGAAGCAAAGAAGCTATGCCCCGAGCTTATTGTTCAGCATGTTGCCACATGGAGGGAGGGCGATGATAAATGGGCATACCGCGACGACGCCGCCGCTAATATTGTGACCGACAAGGTCTCCCTTGACCCGTATCGACTTCAGTCCAGGAAGATCTTGGCCTGTATCAAAGACGCCTTACCTGTAGACTTACAGAAGGTGGAGAAGGCAAGTATAGATGAGGTCTTTCTTGACCTTTCAAGCCAGGTTCATTCAATCCTCCTAGAGCGCTTCCCAGAACTCTCGAATCCGCCTCCGTATGACGACCCTACCGAGAAACTCCCACTACCACCTATTGCTGCGCTCGACTGGCAAACAGACGCCTTGATTGATTTGGATGAGGAACAAGAAACAATAGATCCCGATTGGGACGACGTGGCTATCCTCATCGGCTCTGAGATTATCCGTAAAGTGAGGTCCGAGGTCCGACAAAAATTGGGCTATACATGTTCAGCGGGCGTGGCCAGCAACAAGCTACTCAGCAAGTTAGGCTCAGCTTACAAGAAACCCAATAAGCAGACTGTTGTGCGCAATCGGGCGGTGTCGGCTTTCATGGCTGACTTCAAAGTTACAAAGCTACGAAATTTGGGTGGAAAGCTTGGAGAGCAGATTGTATCGACCTTTAACACCGAGAATGTTACTGAGCTGTTGGAAGTACCTTTGTCAAGCATGAAAGCGAAGCTTGGCCATGACACAGGGTTTTGGATCTTCAATACCATTCGAGGTATCGATACCAGCGAGGTCAACTCAAGAACTCAGATCAAATCGATGCTCTCAGCCAAGTCCTTTCGCCCTACTATTAATTCTTCTGAGCAAGCAATACGATGGCTGCGAATCTTCGCAGCTGACATATTCGCTCGACTGGTAGAGGAGGGTGTTTTAGAAAACAAGAGACGACCAAAGACCATGAATTTGCATCATCGTCACGAGGGACAAGTGCGATCCCGCCAAGTCCCTATCCGCCAAGGCAGGGCCCTGGATGAAGGGTGTCTATTCGAACTAGCTAAGGATCTCCTCTCGCAGATACTCGCTGAAGGCAGAGGCGTATGGCCGTGTGCAAACCTGAGTCTTAGTGTAGGGGGCTTCGAAGACGGCGTTAAAGGCAACATGGACATCGGCGCGTTTTTTGTCAAAGGGGAGGAGGCAGAAGCACTTCGTCTGTCAACTTCAGAGAGCCGCCCTCCTTCTGCTGGTCCCGAGCCCCTTGCAAAAAAGCGACGTGTCGATGGCAGTGGTATTCAAAGGTTCTTTTCTAAGAGGTCCTCAACGGACCACGATGGGAGTTCCTCGAACAAATCACCTACCCCAAACGAAAACACCAATACCGCGCGTACACTATCAGAGGACACTCAAAAGAGCATCAGCTTTGCTACTAATTATGGATATGAGGCCCGCCATGGAACTGACATTGGCTCGCATCAATCTACTGTATCATTGTCGCATGCGAGCGCTTCCAGTACTGAGACGGACCGGAACACACAATTTTCGATCGATCCTCTCAAATGCTCCCGCTGCAAGGCCAACTTTGCCGACCCAGAAGCGCTGCAGAACCACGAGGACTGGCACATGGCCAAAGATCTTCAGGACGAGGAACGTGTCAAGCCCACATTCGCTGAACGGCAATCTACTACACGAAACACCGCACCGAAGACACGAGGGACTGCAGCGAAACGTGGCCGAGGAGGTAAACTTGAGCAAGGTCAAAGCCGGCTCAAATTTGGCTGACTTGGTCAGACATCACGGGAACAGATACCGAACTTACCCTGATCTGTCTTAACTGTCAGAGATGCAATCTGGGGCCACTCCCGCCACCTGCCTTGCGGTTCCCTCAACTCAGAATCACAACACAACGACGTGATTGTTCTGAAAATCGAAGGTATCGGTAGCGCCGTCAAGGCAATGTGGGTTTCCGTAAATGCCCAGAACATCGAGCGTGAGCGCAGGCATAATGCCAGGATTCCATAGACAACCGTCGTCATCATGCTCTGCAGTGTACAAAGTTGCACCACAATAACGCCGACTAAACCAGTGCAGCCGTGGCGATATGGCAACTCACCCTCATTGGGCATTTTCTAACCCCCTGGGGAGACAAACAGGTGAAGATGGTAGGGAGGATGCAGCTGTCGGCCACAGAATTCAAAATAGCCGACACGACATTGCAGGCCGATAAAGTAATGCGAACAGGCGAAACGTACATCGAAGGGATCAGCGAACCGATGAGACAATTGCGCCGTGCTGTTTATGATGCTCGCTCACGCGTGTCGATATCAATCTCACGAGGACCGGAAGTATGTCGATAACATCAATCTGCTGATGTACCTGTGTATCGAGAGCATCGAACATGATGACAAAGTAACCATGTCTTCGACTGGATGGTGTGCCAAGACATTGACACACGCTGGTGTCGAGAAATGATTGGACGATAGAGCTCAGGCATCGAACACCTGGCCCTGGATGCAGAATTTGGGCTTCAATTGGTGCAAGCATTGCTACCCAACCCACCCTCCAGAGCACATCCGAAAAGCCAACCGTTAACCACTCAAGCTAGGAATTGGTCTCAAAAAGCTCAAATGCAGCTGAGGCAATGCTGGAATCTAGCGACACCTGACAAGCATGCTGCTGCGGAAACACGTTGCCTATCATTTGTGGGCGGCATACATAGTTGAAATTTATGCTCAGCAACAACACCGTGACAGGCATAGAGAAGCATGGAGCCACAGGAGTAGATGCCCAATATTCCCGAGACATTTGGGCAAGAGCAAATATTACAATGGTAAGGGAACGACGGAAGCACAGCCGTTCTCACGATGGGCGACAAACAGCAAAGTAGAGTGACAGTGAGCTCCATCTGTCTACGTGTCGCTTAAAGTCAAGACACGATATTGAAACAGCACATATTGGGAGTTCCGAATACTTGACGTGGGATATAAAGCAGCAGTGTGAAGTGTATGATGAGATGTGACAATGGTACCTTAGACACTCATTTTTCTCGTCCACTTTCTGTCACTTCAACAAGGTGATTCCATGCCTTGCAGACCGCGGCACTTCTCAAAAAAGAAACCATACAATTCTCAACCCGGAAAATAAGACGTCATAGCATTGTCAACGTTGCTTTTATTTCTCGGCTTTTATTTCTTCTACATACATCGGATCGCTAGTCCAGACCGCAGGTGCTGACCCTCTGGAAGAAAGGGATTTTCATGTCGACTGTTCAAGTTCTGTACGAGGTGTCTCTGCTTCGCTTGCGGGCGATCATAACTTAGAGTACGGCGTATCGCCGTTACTATCATACCGCCACACCAGAGAAGAAGGTTTGAGTGGGCGTTGGGCATCGTTGAAACAAGGGATAGCCTTGTTCGCGACATTACAAAGTCGACATTGGAAGTCATTTGCCGCGCGTGCTTTTGATGACTGCAACTTGTTTGGCTATCGATAGCTGTCTTCAAACGCTTTACGTTGCTGGGACAAGCAAGGTCGTGGTCTGTTTCGAGCTTTAATCTGAATCGCGACAGGGTCGATCTTTAATAAACGACGGGGTTGAATCAATCCTTCCTTCAGATTTTCGGGATTTGATATTTGAGCCAAAGTACTCCATAACTGACGCAATTCCGCGATCTTTGACAAACAAGGGACAAGCCACGTTGTGACCCGGACGACAGAACACTTTCATTTCCCGAATGGGACAAGACGAAGGAAGAGGCTTTCTACAGTGCATCTGTCACACCACACGAACGGTACATCACGGCTCAAAACCTCAACTGACAGGATAGAAGCGAAGTGCATACTAAAAACTGCACTTCGGACCAAACGTTCGCAAAAGACTGTGCAACAAGCCTGGTCACCAGTTTTGAATCAAATTAACAAGAAGCGACGTCCGGCGAGGCCGCTACCGCAATCATTGATCATCCATTAGCACACGGCGGGCTGCGCTGTGACTCGCCAGCCAGAAACCGTCTCGCCCAAGAGTCAAACGAAAGACAAGAAGGGTTGGAACAACAACATAGAGCCTGTCTTTCAACCAAAGGATCCCGCCCAGCCTCCCCTGGTGCCCAAGTGTCATCAGTCACCGCCAAAGCACAAGCCCAACCTCAAGACCACAACCCAGCCCGGCAAGGCGGAGAAGGCATTGTAGGGCACGCGCAACAACTTCCGGAAGCCCCAGGCGTGCCAACCACATCTGGCTTCGGTAACAAGGCAGTCAAACGGTCCACCAAAACAGGTCGCCACTGGGTACAGGGTTGTTGGCAGCACGGAACAGACAAGGACCAGGCTAGTGAGGATCAGGATCAGAATCAGGGCACCCACGCACCAAGCCAGCAGCGGCAGCTGCAGATCCCGCATTTTGGTGTTGGGTTCGGTCAAGGAGAGAGACAAGCTTCCGTCACGGATAGTCCCAGGCAAGAGCCAGTCGACTCATTCACTGCCCAAGAGCCCAAGGAGAAAAACCCGCCTTCAATAAACGAAAGATTAGCACAGTCCCCGCCTGGCCTCGAACAGCCGGGTCATCCCAGCTTGTACTATCTTGGCTTGCTGCAAAATCAGAACTATCTCCACCACAGGCATCACCACGCCCAACAATATCAGGGTTTTACAGGCGACGACCCATCAATATCAACTCACCAGCAACCTCAACCTCTCAGCTTTGGCCATCAGCATCAGCATCACCAACCTCCTGCATGTTCCTCGCCACCACTTCCTTTTTCTTTCCCCTTTCCATCACCTCCAGCATCAGCACCACCAACATCTGCCTTCGGACTGGCTGCTCCTCCTCCTCCTGCAACTCCACCAAGGCCACCGTCGAGACGACGCTTCCAACCAACGACGTCTCGCCGTCAGCAGAATTTGTCCCACTGTCGTTCCAATTCAAACCTGAGCTCAAACTCCAGTAACGGTGCCAGTGCCAACCGACGTCTGCTGGCCTCACGGTCTCCTGCAAGTCACTCTGCCAGTGGGAAAACCCCTCGTCAGCGCCTAGCACCACCACCTCCGCAGCCAATAGATTGTACAGCCCCACAGGATACGCCCACCGCCCACCACCGCCATTCGCCTTTTCTTCCTTCTCACCCTCACCCTCCTGCTTCTTCTTTTTCTGCCCGTTCTACCCTCTCAGCTCTCTCCACGTCGTCTCCCTCCTCCCCCATTTCCGGGTCTATCTCCTCTTCTCCCGCTCTTCCGTCGACCTTCTCTCCCCTCTCTTCTTCGTCCTCATCTTACCAGACTTGTTCATCGGCCGTATCCTCCCCACACATCAACATGTCGAGATCATCCCGAAACCCTCCCCCAGCCGTTGCCGGCACTGGACGTCAAAATGAATACTTTGTTCCTCGAGATGGCATCGACCGTGAAGTTATCTCTGCCGACATTTGCCGTTACTTGGGCAACGACGCTCTCGTGCGTCCTGGCCACTACGAGGTACGCCAGTGAATAGAGAACCCCGCCATCGTGACGGAACAAATGGCTCACATATCAATCATGACAGAACCCTCAGACAGGCCAAGCTGTGCAAGGCTACTACATCACGGCATACAGGAATCTAACGACTGTGAGTCTTGCATCACTGTGTTAATATATGGATGATAAACTAATGCATATCTCACCAGGCTATGATTGAGGACTTGAAAGCAGACTCTGCGCGCTGGGATAGTGAAAGGCGTGCACAGACATCACGCAATACCTCCGGAGGTACTATTGCCTCGAGAAACGTTGGCGTACCGCCGAGACACTCATCTAACTCACCTGTAGTGCAATACCGCTACTCGGAGACGCATCAGTCGCGTCAGCATCATGGTCCTACCGAAGGCCCCTACGCAACCGATCCTTACGCTCGTGACTCTGGCTTTGACGGAGGACCCAGGTATCCAGGAACAGGTGCTCCCGGTTACACTGGTGCCGCCGGTTCATATAGCCAATCCTATGGCGGCTCAAGTAGTGGGTTTGCCGGTTATACTCAAGCCCAGCAATCTCCTCCCCCAGCGGATGCCAGGTTTAGCTCGACTCCCGCAGCTGCTGTCATGAACACACCCTACCAGGCTGGCCAAAGTCCCTATGTGGACGTCGGAACAAACCAAAGGCCCAGAGGATACGATGCCTATGCTAACCAGGCTGCCGCCGCCGCCGCCGCCCAGCAGCAGGCTTATGCCACTTCTGCACCTTCGCAACCCGGTTACCCGGCCACTGCTGCTTACCAATATTCAGGTCAGGCTCCTCCTGCGGGCTACACGATGCAGCCCCAGGATCCCTTCTATGGTCGTGGTGCGTACAGTGGAGGGCCCGATGGGCAGGTTTTCATGAGGATGGCGTACTAATTATTGAGCTCCAGCAGGTCAACCAGCCCAAGGATATACCCAGGCCTCACAGTATGAAGAAACCCCCCGGACTCGCGCTTCCGCGACACCAACAAATACTCAAACAAATCCCAGTGGCACCTCCAGCAGCCGACGTAGTGAACGAGAGAGCGACAGGCACAGCTCCGACCGTCACCACCGCTCCAGCCGCCGGTAAAAGGTGTGTTTCCGGAGTACCACGGCCGGTCTTTGTGCCCGTCCCTTTGCCTAAGCTTGACGAGACGCCCCGACGTTTTCGCGAGTGTGATGATTTCTGCATTATGACCGGGATTACATGGAGTACGGCTTATTTTCCCCTGGAACGACCTCTTCCTCTTTTCTGTTTCTTCCGGAGATGACCCCTTCAAAGGCTAGGCTTCAGGTTTCTTTTCTTTGGCTGGTGCCACCACCAAGTTGCAAGTTTGCATCTTAACAGGAGTTTCCACTGGAAAGGTATCCCGTCACTTCTTCCTGGAGATTAATCCTATCATCTACGAACCTGGATTCCCTGGAGTCGATAATACCCCTGGACATATCAACTACTATTGCCATCGATGATGCCCTGGACACGAACTGGATCTTTTTTTGAGACGCATACCCTTGGGGCCTTTTTTTCTTTTACATTTTATGACGGACGACCTTGCATTGTGGATGAGCCTTGCCTGGATTGACGACCTCATCGACTACGGACATTATTACCACGCGGATGAGACCATGCTGCATACGTTTTACACTGGGACACGGCGCTGAGTTGGAAAAGGAAAGGGAGCCATCCCTTACCAGGTGGACTTGGGGTGGTATCTCATGTCATGGCCTTGCTGTCCGGATCCGCCCTCGGGAAGTATTCTGTTTTCCGTTCTACCTGGATCTGGCTGGTTCTTGCTCTTTTCGTTCAATGTCTTTGGCCCCCGGATTCTTCGATGTGAACCATCGTCGAGACGCGGCGTTTATTGAAATAATAATTGGCAGAGGCCGGCATCCGGACAGCAAGGTGAGTTCGAACGAGCTTGTATATATTAGCCAACCTTTTCAAAGGATCTTTTGCTTCCCTTGTTCCCTCACTCCCACGTCCCTTCCACCTGATGGACTCTCCATGGATTTTGTCTTGATATGAATCGCAAAGACACTGACTCGACAGACTTGACTCAGGCAGCTAGGCGCGCAAACTTGAAATGCCTGGACACAGACTTCTCCTGGATATCTCCCTGGACGTACTTGGATTTACCTTCTGAACAACCACCTGACAATTGCCTCTATACATTACCAAGGAATGGACCCAACTCATCAGGATTGTGCTTTTATCCGGAAGTTTACCTGCCTCAGCCGAGGTTTGCTCATGTCCGTCTGGGACGTACTCGCACCTATCTGCGTCCGCAATGGGTTGCTTGGGATACAAACACAAACAAAAGCCAGAGCATACCATTGCACAGGAGTCAAGGTAACACGCGCAAAAGGTGATTCAATGACTGCCCACTTGAAATCATCCTCGCTCCGCGTCCTCGGATTGCTGCAACTTGCTACACTATTGCCTGCAACATGAAACGCTTGTCGCTCTGGCTCTGCACAAATTCGTTCCCGCTTCCATTCTGGATTAATGCTGCTTTAAGTCCTCTGGGATAGTCAACTTCTTCAAATCTGGAATTTTGCTACACCCTGCTGGCCACTTGGTCATCGTGACAACTCGGCATTTTGGAATACACAAAGCTTGCGGAAACCTTTCCTCCGGAACCATATCTCAGCATGCCATCAACTATGGACAATCCCACTTCGTCTACAGGCGACACTGTGTTTTTCAAACCATCCTGCTCCTGAATTTCTCCATGAGAACTAGACCATATCGACACCGGAATTGGAACTTCATCAACCCTATGGTTTGACAATGCCTGTACAGCAGTATGGATGGTGCAGGAGGAAGATTGGTCAGGTTAAAGGTGGTGATTCTGCGGCTTATTTTCAATTCTTTGAACTTGGATCCATGGACTTATTCTCTTTGGCTGTTTTGCTGTACTGTCATTTATTGTCTCTTACGTCGTTCAGCGAAAATTTTGCTTTTGATTGGAGATACACGGAGTTTAAGAGGTTGCCTATATCTTCCGTTCGATTCGATTGTTTGAAAGAGGATTATGAAACTATTATTATTGCAAAAGTTTGATTGGAATACAAGAGTTGGTCATGTCTTTGAATGAATGAGAAGATTTGTTTGCCATCGAGTGAGATGAAGAAATAAGAATACCTTTGAGCCAACTGCCACGAAATACTAATGCGCCCTGTCACTTTGAAGACCCCAAAAGATTCTCTCTTGCCATGCAAACTCAAGGGCCCCGATCGATAGATTGGCGACTCCGACGCCTGTAAGGGTGGTGTGAGTGAAGTCGCTGGTGAATGCAATGGGCTGTGTGGTGATGTCTGGGAAGCCTATGCCCACCCGCAGTCGCAGGTTCTGGAGGAGGCGCTTCGAGAATACCATCATCAAGAAGCATTTCAACGACGGCACGCACCCAAACTTCACAATGGGTTGCATAATCGGGGAGAGAGGCATAATTGACAGGGCTGAGCGGCCTCGAATGGTCTTTGATCATGGCTCTCATACGATCGAGATCCTGAGATGCGATGTATCCAACGAATCGACTCTGGTGAATATCGCCCATGTGTGCTGGGGAATTGAGGATGTCGGCTGTGACAGGCAGTATGGTTTGTGGATGGTCTTGAAGAGGGAGGTCTGTGACGTAGTACAGGTAGCCAGCTGGTCGAGGGAAGCTAGTTGGAATAAAGATCTTGTGAACGTTTGGGGAATGCTCTATGTGAAAGACTTGATACCGAGGTGGCTCGGGGTCATGGACAGATACGATAGGTGCTGATTCACCTACAACAGTCTGAGGGGAGCCAAGATTTACTTGGAGAATCATGGTACAGACTGGACGTGAAGGTGTAGTGATAGAAGTTTTCGTATGCTGGTTGAAACTAAGAGTAGCGTGCTTAATGGCGATCAAGAGGATGACCATGATGCCGAATACACTTGATTTATATCAGTGGGTTCGCAGTTATCAGATGCGGAGGTAACAAAGAAGACTGACCGAGCGCATGCAGAGAGTCATCTGATCCCCTGTGTGAACCCGTCCATATCATAGCATACGAGGTGTTGTTAGGATAGCTTGCACTTCGACGCCTGCGGGTGGCCGAGAGCTAGTAAGAGCAGCTGTACTGCTCCGGACTTGGTCTGTTTGTAGTGTTGATGCCGAATTATCAGTGGACATGGCCAGCGGTGATAGCTGCCTGTAAAGAAAGGTATGGGTCTTTTGGAACTTGCCAAGATATGATTTCCATTGCTACTTGTATCTGGCGACTGTCTGCTTCTTGCTTGACGCTTCTTACATCGAGTTAGTTTGACTCTCCAATATGACGATGGAGCACTATGATCTTGTCGTCGATTCGGATTGCATTGACAAAGCGAACAAGGTAGTTGGGTTACTGCATATTGCGCTAGCATGCCTGGCCGAAGATTCGACAGATGCTGCACTCGGCAACAGGCTCACGCTGTGTGGAGGTACTGGTGTAACCGCACAGGGCTCTGTTTGTTTGACATTGCTAACTCTGGAAGGAAACTTGGCCGACTGTTGCCGTTTGTTGTGATGTTCTCCCAACAGCATGGGCTGCTGAGTGGAGGGTCGAGGCGGGTGGCTGCGTAGGCTCAAACACAAGCCTGGGCTCTATCGAGTTGTTTGCTGGCGCGGCAGAACATCACGTTTCGGTATACCGATATACGAGAATAAAATAGAGTGGATGTATGTTTGTCAAGTCTTTGCAATACCGCAGTCGATAGTCCAATGCGTGCACAGAGCAACAAAGATGATGTGTCGAATGGAGCAGTCAGATATAAATGTTAGTTACTTGCCAGGTACCTACTAAGGTGCTTAGGTACTACCTCGTAGTACTAATAGAGAACGACGGAGGGATAGACTAGGATCTATAGACCCGTGGGATATTCTGGGAGAGGCCTGCATCTGGCAGAAAGGAGCCCGGATTTGCAAGGACAATCGGTCGGTGTGTCTGTAGCTTCCCGTAACGATTCACGCATGACCATTCACGCCGACTGATTAAATCCTACCTACCTACCTAGGTACGCAGCGAGCGGAAGAAGGTACCTACCTAATATGGATCTGTCTGAGCCTCTTTCCTCGGAGCTGCAAGCCTCGGGAGTTGTACTTGGATTAGTATCTCTAACTTGATATTCGCCTCGCAGTAGTGGTGGGAGTTGTGCAGGAGATACTTAGATACTTGGTAGATTTATTAGATAACTGTACCATGGGAAGCAAGTGCTAAACACACAAGATCAACAGCTCGTCAAGGGGGCAACGTGGTGAATTGAGATACAATCTGCTATCACACTACTCCATCTCATCTCTTCGTTTCACAACTCGCCATGATCATCGATCGCTGCTGCAAAGTCGGAACAGAAAGGCTATACTAGATTTACTGAGACTTGAACTCCATCCCCAACCTCTTTTTGATCTTATCCCTCTCCGCGATTAAGCCAACGATGCCAAACGACCTCTTCTTCCACCCTTCATCGATTGGCAGCCTTTCTTCTTGAAGGAAAGCCTTAGCATAGCCACACTCAATCCTATCTCCAGTACCAATGACATTTAGTATCAGAGCAATCTCTGCACATGCAAGATCGTTCTCAAATGCACCATATTGAACATCTGGATTATCTGCTTTCTGTCTAGCGATGCGTTTCTTGCGGAACTCAACGAGATCATCAGCTGTGATAACCTTGCCATCCTTGGAGCTAGCAAGAAGGTCTTCGACAAGGTCTTTTTGAAGAGCAATATTATCGCCCTGTTGGTGATCCCGGCGGGTCAAGGATATGTCGTGCTCAACTGTATTAGGCAAGCCGAGCTGATCCAAGTTCAAGACTCTGTGACCTTCAGAGTCAAACTGTCCTGGCTTGCGCATGCCAAATCTTCCCATGACGGACCACGGGTCAGTCACAGTCTGCCATAACTTCTGAAAAAATGACCTTTCAATGACTGGATCGTCGTGGAATTTGGAGGGCGCACGCTCTTGGAAGATTGGATTGGCAAAGGCGACACCAAGGGGTTTGGAGAGTCCGATGGCGTTCATCCCTGCCAGGACTTCTTCAATACGTACGTTTCGACCATCCCGAGGAAGATAACCGTGGTTTGCGAGACTGTTGATGAGTGGGCAGGGACCTCGTATGTCATTGGGGCCTGAAGGGGCATATGCGCCTTTGATGAGTGGTTGAGTAGATGATGCCATCACGTGCGAAAGAGTATCATGAACCTTTGCCAATAGTCTCGGGCAGCAAGGCGAAGGTTTGGAGAGAGAGGGGAAAGAAAGCCCAGAAGATATAGAAAACAACGAGGGGCAATGTAATGTGATTGATTTACGCAGATCATCTCGTCTTACCAACCGTAGATAACATCCATCAATCTGCAGCTCTTGAAGGCCCCCCGGCCAGTGAAACAGCTGACAGTCGAGACTATTGTTGCTAACCTCCCCATTAACTTCAGCCAGCCTCTTATTCGGATGCCGAATCATGGGCACAGCTGTTGGATTTACGTGACCCCTGATTGGGCTCAGACAAATCTCACTCTTGTTTGGCGGCTTGTTCCGCTTTGACCCCCCCTCTTCAGCTTCGCCAGCGTTCAACCATGATACTTTTCGACAGCGTGGCACAATATAAAGTACCTGTGTGGCCTCAGTACTAAGCTCAAGCGCAATATATGTGATAGTCTTGATGATGAACTGACAGATATACTGGCTCAGCCATGCTTCTGAAGCCCAGATCTTGGCCTTTACGATACAAGGTGAGCAGACATCTGACCTGAAGTACCCCAATAAGAATCCAAAAAAAACCGTCGGTCTGCATTTAGTACAGAGTACATGCTCTAACAAGTCCTGCGATGGTCTATGATTGGTTTGTCGACTGGCTCGCCTACCTGTTAACTTGATACATGAACACACATTGTTTGGACATAACGATGATATGCACGGGTCCAAAGACATATATTTTCTTATCCCTTTCCATAATTATGAACCGGCTATAAGGGTTCAGGTGAATAATTGTGAGATCGTCAACGATATTGGCGTGGGCTTCTCCATGCAAGCACACATATTATTGAGGCTGGCATCGAGAACGGGTACGCATTTTGTAAAGGCATATGCCATTCAACTACATAAAATGACATGCTCTGGTCTAAACATTCACAAGAAGAGATCATATAACATGGAAGTAATGTATGGGCTGGAATAGGGACTATGGTTCTTGAAACTCCTTCTGCTAACAAACTATCACTGTAATGGAACAGCGCAATGGCTTCAGTATGGGAACTCAACACTACGTAGAGAAGTTTGTCCGTAGGCCAAATCACAATTCGGACTCATCTCTGGCATGTTGTTCAGTTTCGCCAGAGGTCATCGAGGAGTAAGTAGCACGGGGAGTGTAGTTTTAACGGTCTTGGGTGACAGATTTTTTTTTTTTTTTTTTTATAAAGGCGAAGCTGGCCTCGAGCCTTGAGATGCCAGGTTGTGACTAAAACATGGCGGTTAGACACTTAACACCTATTTGCAAGGAATACGATACGTGTTTATCGTGACTACCTACTAAGGTACTGACAAAGGCGGTTAACGCAACTAGTCCAATGTCTCACAAATGTCTTTCGTTTGTCTCTGCAGCACCTACGTTATCCCGGCCTTCTCGGCCTTGATATGACGAGGGTGACGTTTTTAAGGGGACCAACAATTTGGAGTTTCCGCATCTGCAGTAACCCAACTAACTATTCTAAGCCAAAAGCGGTGAGGGGGAAATTGGCGGGGCACTAACGTTGATGGTGTTGGACCCTGCGATCTAACTGGGTTTTTTTATGATTTGTTTTGACCATTTCATGCTGCTACCTGTTACCTATAAAGCTGAAAAAGTACCTACCTTAGATCATGACTCCATGTGACCGACTCTTTGATGAACGCAGTGATCAACGCAATGCAACCAGTAGTACTCGATAACTGGCAGTACAAAGTAGCATTCAACATCCCACTTTCTACTGTGGATGGATGTCAGGGATCACTTCAGGCCCTTGTTGGTCGTCAGGGCATTATCCTCCGGGGAAAGCCCCGACCTAATAAAGAAATTGAGTCTCGACCCTAAAAGAAAAAGGAAAGACAAAGTGATGGCCAATTCTGTCATGGATGACCTCGTGCTTTGCTCGTGGCATGCTCGTGCTTGGTTTGGTGCTTTATGTACAAGACGCCAAGATCCTGTGCGTCGTGAGACACCTTTTCCATTGGCTGAAAACATCAACTTGCTTTGACTCGAGATTTGGACAACCCTTGCATTACATCTGGCAGCTGCTTCTGCCTTGGCTTTCCTATCACTGTGTTCCTGACGTTTAACGTCCTACCTAGTGAATAAACTTGTGATAGTGCCTTCCCTTTAAGCCATAACGAACGTTATTATGTGCTCTTGCCGCTAGTAGGTAGCTGCACTTGCATCAAGCAGTGAATAACTGTTGGAAATCATCTAGTGCAGCTCTCCATACCTGCCTAAGCATAGGTACCTAGGAGGAAGATTCCTTCTAATAAATTACTAGGTAACTTTCCATCTCTTTCAACAAAGTTTCCGTTCTCACACATTGCTTGTCAGTACCCAGATATCCATTCATCATCACATCCATATCAAGATTTCATCATCTACCGAAAGAAGGAAACAAAAAGACCACCCGGACCCACTGAAAAGTCAAAACGTGTGCGTTTGTTTTTCTTCGCTCCTCCAGTTCATTTGACTCCGTCCCGACGCCGTCTCCAGCTTCCGCCGCCGAGTGACCGACCGAATTCAGTCCCACACACAGTCGGTCGGACTTGAATTGGTCTCGGAGGATTAAAAAAACAAACAAATTAACTGCTGAGAGCCAACAAGGCGAAATTGATCAAGTCGCTCTATGCCATTCTGGACCAAATCTCATGTAAATCCTTTTCTTTTTCCCACCCTAATTTCTAATCTCAGAGGGCATCTTTCCTGATATCTCCTAGACTCTCCTAGGCTGGTATTGACGCTGCCTTGTACTGGACCTGGACCTGGAACTGGAGCCCTACCTTACTCAAACCCAATCAGAGCCTCCCATATTCCATCTTTTCAATTTTTGGGCCCCTGGACACTCGCACACACGGACGGCCCTGGTGCTACTTTCTCCCGACTACAACTTTTTGGCTCTGGCATCGCCCATCGGGTCCTAACATTTCCAGCTCTTGCAAAAGGGAAGCAGGGAAGAAAAAAACTTGTAAACGAAAAAAAAAAAAGTCACTCCGACTTTTCGAGGCGAATACTTTCGATCCCCGAATCAAAACCGCATCTGCATCGCACCGTGGCTCGTGGCCTACCATTTCGGACTGTGAACTAGCTGAGGTGGACTTTGTGCTTTTCTTTTGGGTGTTGTGCTTTTTGGGCTGTCTCTAGATGCCCCGCCATCCGCCGCTCGCCTTTCTTATCCAGACCTGACAGATCCTGATTCCGCTACTTTCGTCCGCCTCTCTTTCCACCACACACTCCTATCCTCTTCGGCCTCGACGTCGACTTCTCTATATATCCACCATTCACCATGGATACCGCCGCTGTGAGGTCCTTGCTCGCCGCTAGCTTGGACCCTGATGCAGACAGCCGAAGGCGTGCTGAGATTCAGTTGAAACAGGTGCGTCTTGCATTTGCGTCTTTGTCTTGAGGGAATGTCTTTGTTGTGCTTGGGTGCCATTGGAGATCCTGAATAGCCATCTGCTTCACCATTTCGGCATTATGGCTAGCTCGCATGCTTCTTCTCGCATTGTATCTCCTCTGCGCACACTGCTTTAACTTCACTGATCAACTGCCCGTCATATGCGCAAATCCTGAACCACAAGAAGAATCGACATGCTGATTTAAATTGCTGCACTGTCTAGATTGAAGAACAGCCCGGCTTCCTCGAATGTCTTCTCGATATCCTACAAGCCGAACAAGAGGCCAGTGTTCGTCTATCGAGTACGTTGATGCAATATTCGTGCCCCTCTATTCAACCTATCCCAGTCGCTTCTTGGCCCACCGCTGACAATATTCTACTCCAGCTGTCATCTACGTAAAGAACCGTGTCAACCGTTCATGGTACAACAGTGAGGGTTACTCTACCGAGCCCCCTTCGAACCCAATCCCCGAAGATGAAAAGGCTCGCGTGCGAGACCGCCTTCTGCCGATTCTTGCTGCTTCCGAAGGCCTTGTCCGCCAGCAGCTCATTCCCGTTCTCCAGCGAATCCTCCAATATGACTTTCCCGCTCGTTGGCCCAGATTTATGGACTTCACCCTTCAGCTTCTCAACACGAATAACCCTGGCTCCGTCCTGGCTGGTCTGCAATGCCTACTCGCTATCTGCCGCGCCTTCCGCTACAAGTCTACCGATAGCGACGACCGAGCACAGTTTGACCAGATCGTGGAGGCAAGCTTTCCTCGTCTTCTAGCCATCTGCAACGAATTAGTGAACCAGGAGAGCGATGAGGCTGGCGAGATGCTTCACCTTGCTCTAAAGGCTTATAAACATGCAACATGGGTACGCACCTACCGAAACATCTTTTCTGCTCTTCTGAAAACTTATACTGATCTTACTTGTAGTTGGAACTCTCCCCCACGTTGCGACAGCGCGATGTCAACATCGCTTGGTGCACCGTTTTCCTGCACACCGTCTCCAAGACTTGCCCCGCCAGTGCCATGCAGGGCGACCAACACGAGCGCGAGAAGCATCACTGGTGGAAGGCCAAGAAATGGGCTTTCTTCAACCTGAACCGTCTCTTCATCCGGTATGGCCAGTTATGTTTTCTCTCCATTGGTAAATTCATACTAACACGGTATTTCCAGACACGGCAACCCTGCCAGCCCAGGCAAGGGCGAGGAAGCGCTTGCTTTCGCCAAAGACTTCACCGCGAACATTGCTCCCGAAATCCTCAAGCACTACCTCCAGGAGATCGAGAAATGGGTCGCTAAAACCTCGTGGCTCAGCCGGCCTTGTCTTTCCTACACGCTTGTCTTCCTCGATGAGTCAGTCCGACCCAAGGAGATGTGGGCACATCTCAAGCCTCACCTCACCAACCTGGTTACTCATTTCGTCTTCCCTGTCCTTTGCCTCACCGATGAGGATGTCGAGCAATTCGAGGATGAGCCCGACGAGTATCTTCACCGAAAGCTCAACTACTTCGAGGAGGCGTCTGCTCCTGATGTCGCTGCCACGAACTTCCTTGTCAACCTCACCAAGAACCGCCGCAAGGAGACTTTCGAGATCCTCAAGTTTGTCAACGCTGTTGTCAACGAGTACGAACAGGTCGAGGATGACAAGAAGAACCATATTGCTAAGGAGGGTGCGCTACGCATGATCGCCACTTTGGCCCCCGTCATTTTGGGCAAGAAAAGCCCTATTGCGGACCAGGTTGAATACTTCCTTGTCCGTTACGTTTTCCCCGACTTCACCAGCTCTCAGGGTTATCTCCGTGCTCGCGCTTGTGACACCATAGAGAAGTTCGAGCAGCTCAACTTCCAGGACCAGAATAACCTTCTTACCATTTATCGACACATCCTAGACTGCATGGCCGACCCTGCCCTCCCTGTCCGTGTCACCGCCGCGCTCGCTCTTCAGCCTCTGATCCGACACGACATCATCCGAACGAGCATGCAGCAGAACATCCCTACCATTATGCAGCAGCTTCTCAAGCTCGCTAACGAGGCCGATATCGATGCGCTTGCGAACGTCATGGAAGATTTTGTTGAGGTTTTTGCCACTGAACTCACTCCCTTCGCTGTGGCTCTTAGTGAGCAGCTCCGAGACACTTACATGAGGATTGTCCGCGAGCTTCTTGAGAAGGAAAGCAAGGTTGGCGATGACGGCGAACTTTATAACGAATATGACGACAAAAGCATCACTGCTCTCGGTGTTTTGCAAACTATCGGTACTCTTATTCTCACCCTTGAGAGCACCCCCGACGTCCTGCTCCATATCGAGGCCGTTCTTATGCCTGTTATCAAGGTCACCCTGGAGAACAAGCTTTACGATCTTTACAATGAAGTATTTGAGATTATTGACAGCTGCACATTTGCTGCCAAGTCTATTTCTCCTACTATGTGGCAGGCCTTTGAGTTGATCCACACCACCTTCAAGGCTGGTGCTGAGTATTACCTCGAGGACATGCTGCCAGCTCTGGACAACTTTGTCCAGTTTGGTGCCCCTCAGCTAGCTCAGAAGCCCGAATACACTCAAGCCCTTTTCTCCATGGTTGCTGATATGTTTACCGACAGCATCCAGGGTGGAGTCGAGAGAATATGCGCCTGCAAGTTGGCGGAGGCCATGATGCTTAGCTTGAAGGGTCAAATCGACAGCTGCGTCGAGGGATTTATCAACATTGCTATGAACATTCTAGCTAGCCAGGATGTCAAGGTCAAGAGTTATCGTATTCACCTGATGGAGATGGTTATTAACTCGATCCACTACAACCCTCTCCTAACTCTTCAAGTTCTTGAGAACAAGGGCTGGACAAACCGCTTCTTCAGCCTCTGGTTCGGCAGCATGACAGCATTTACTCGTGTTCATGACAAGAAGTTGTGTATCGTCGCTATCTCAGCTCTACTCAGCCTGAACCCCGAGCATGTCCCACAAAGCGTTTCTGTTGGCTGGCCTCGATTGCTGCAGGGCATTACTGAGCTGTTCCGCTCTCTCCCTGCTGCTCAGAAGAGTAAGTTTAACACAGTTTTGAGTACAGTTAGTTCGAAACTAATAAACCACAGACCGCGACGAAGCTCTCCGCGATGATTTCCACCTCGAGTCTACCTACGATTACGGTGAGGAAGATGAGTGGGATGATGACGAGGCCAACTGGAACGTCGAAGAAGAGGAGGAAACTGGTGAGACAGCCGAGTCCAAGGACGAGAGCACTGCTTACCTCAACTTCCTCAACGAGGAGGTATGTTGAACGCACATTACTCACTGTTTTCGTGACCATTACTGATGCATAACCAGGCCCAGAAGTTCAGCAGAGCGATCGATGATGTTGAGGAAGACGACCTCGGTGAGGATTCTGTCCTGCTTGAGTCGCCGCTTGATAAGATTGAGCCTTACCAGCTGTTCCGTAATACTTTGATGAGTACGTCGAATGCGCGCTTGAAACTGTATATCACTGACCTGTTTTAGAAATGCAAGCAGAACAGCCCCAATTTTACGGGAGCTTGGCTGGACACCTTACAGCCGATGACCAGAACGTTATTCAGAACGTGATGGTCAAGGCCGATGAGATTGCCACACAGCAGGCTCAACAGGCCCAGCAAGCTCAGCTCCTCGCTCAGCAGCAGGCTGCCGCTATGGCCGCCAGCTTGGGTGCACAGAACGGAGGTGCTAGCTAATCCAGCGAAGATTGTGGTTGAGAGAAAATCAGTTATTGGAATTGTTTCCCCCTTTGTTATATCCCCTTCCTCTTTCGTGTTAGGGCAGGAGTCAAGATTCCCCGGGGACCAAGAGACGTGTTGAGCCCATATCAAAAGAAAGAGACTTTAGAACGTGCAAGCAATGATGGACGAACCCGCCGTGGAAGGCCTTCCAAAAGAGTGCCGTGGGTATGATTGGTATGGGGCAGCTGGATTGAGAGCCTATTTAACGAGTTGTTTATCATGATGGGAAAGGAGCACGGGTAGGAAGCGAAGCGGGTACGACAGAGACGAAGCGAACGAGAACGAGAACGAGAACAGCCTAAAACAGGAGACAAAAGAATCCCAAGGGTGGTTTGAGACGAACGCAACCCAACCCTGGATCAAACTAGTCAAAAGGTAAATTTATTGAAATAAAATCCATTAGTTCAAAAATTCTCGGTTGTCAAGCATAAACTGCCTGATCTCGCCGCCTCTAGATTGACCTTGATTGTCGTGAAATAGCCTGCGTTGCTGTGTGTTTTTGGTGGTGCTAGAACGGACAATTGACGATGTTGGCAAAAAAGCTCCTCATGCCAAAGCTCCTCCTATTCATTGTACCGTCTTCTCTCTCCTTCTCCTTCTTGATCCTCCAAAAGAGACTACCATCATAACACGCTTTCAAGTCGTCTTTATGTACAAGGCCATCCTTTTGCAACAGGACGTAGGTCGTCCACCACTCCATGAAAGCAAAAGTCCAGCCTGCCGGATCAGCTGCACATCGATCCTTCTTCCATAACCTTAGCAGATCATCAGCTGTCAGACATCCTTCGCCCGAAGAGTCAAAACGATCAAACAGCTGCTCGAACCGCTCGTGGTTGAAGTTTCCGTCAAAGTCGTATATTCCAGTGTCGGAACCATGCTTGGCCTTGTTGATGTGTTTGACATGGATGCGGAACATGGGGTCCGGAATCCAACTATGTCCCAGCCGCGTGGGGTATGAAAAGAAAATGGGGATGAGTAAAGAGCCTATTGAGAAGAAGAGGCCGAAACCGAGTTCGCGGAAGCCGCTGTAGACGTCCAATGGCCAGATGACACCATCAGAGTCGCGATCCCAGAACTGAACGTGCTTTTGGAGAGGGCTGAGGTTTTGGTCTTTGTTATCCGAGGGTTTACAGGTGGGCTGCTTGGGATGAGTTCCGCATACTTGGGCATATGTGCGTTGTTGGCAATGGCCATTTACTGCGCTGGCCGTGACGCATGGGTTTTTCGTATTGTCTTGGTACATCTTGGTATCTACGTAAGTAACGTTGATGGCAGAGGGTGTAGAAGCTGATGGGTGAGATCAGATTTGAAGGACTGGATGAAGCGATGTTATTGTCTACTATCATTCATTATACTGTGGCTCACTGGTTACGATTGATTGACGTAATTACAAAACACAACACAGATGTCAGTCAACATGTGATTGTATTTAGGATGATCAATGACCCGCAGATAACACAATGGCACAAATACATATGCATTGTGACATTACTGCATGCTTATCTGATGCCAAAAATAGTTGGCTGTTAAGAAACTACCATGATAGAAGCAGTCCTATAAGTAAGGCATGGGAGTGGTCCTGTTCAAATGACATGGCGGTTTTCTTTTAACTAACAAACTGTTCCCCCGTCGTACCCATAGGCCACTTTTGGGTGACATAAAGCTGATAGGGCTCAAGGTTGGTTCAATAAGACGAATAGCGTATAAATTCTGTCTTTGAATGCGTTTCTCAAGGATCGAGGGGGATGACGTCGCTATTGCCAGTCGTAAGGACGTGCCTGTCTCATGTCGTATCTTGTGTTGGAATCATCTCATCCAAGACCCGAGCAGTCTCATCCCTGACCCATGCTGCAGTAATTTGGCCAACAATATAGCCGCTGGGGCTCGCCATGACTGTCACTCTTCACCAAATTTATTAAAGAAAGTCTATCATGGCCCATGCGTGCGGGTGTTTCTCTTTCATGAATCTTGGGCCGGTGGTAAAAAGCAGATGGAAAAGGAAAACGTTGTACCGCTTTCGGGAACACTTTTTCAAGTAACGCGCTCTCATGCTCAACAACATGTTTCCCTCAAATGAGCTACTTTGGAATCTGGGATCTGAGACCTTTGACTGACCGTTCGAAGCCTCGGTATACGCCTCACTAAAGGAATCCATGTGGAGGGCGGCTTTGTTGGCAAACTGATGGTTGATTATGGAGTGTAAATGGTGAAGTTGAGGTTGCAAAAGCAAATTTAGAGATGAATAGTCGAAAGAGTTCCCTGCAAGGTACTAACTAAGGTGTCATACGAAGAGGAAGGAATCTTCTTGAGAAGACAAACGGTACACAACTTCCCAAATCTAGGTATTTACTAGTCCCTTCCTTCCCCATCGATGTCAACATCTACTGCAAACCATGTGAGAGATTATATCCTCAGGTTCTTAGATTCTAATTACCTGCTGCCTTGCCTCCTCCCCCTCCCGATAGAGCGTCCCATGTCAGGATGCCCTCCAGCGTCATCTTGTTCCACTCCAAACTCTCTTCATTTCCAGGGTTCAAGATACGTATCGCTTCAAGAACCGACTCCCCCTCGTCCGATACCCGAGATCCTGTGTACAACCAAGGTGAACCAGCAACTGGCAGAGACGCTTCGACACAATCGAGGCGAAATCGTCCGACAGAGGCTTGCTTACCATCCGTGTATCGGAACAGAAGCCCTGATATTTTGGACTTTTCCTTACATACCACAACTTCTTCAACTTCTTCGAGCGAAGCCTCCGAGTTGCTAGGCTCTCGTTCTACATCTAGCCAGGTCGACAGCCTTTCCGGCATGGAATCGCTGCCACTGCCACCTATTGTCGTGGCCGCGAATAAGGAAACGCCGTCGACGCTAGGATTGAAAAACACTCGCATCGGTGATCCTGTGGATGTTTGAGCAATACATTTCCACTCGCTATGTATTGCCCCGGGTCTTCCAATAACCAACGTTCGTGAGTGACTTGTAAGCAGCTACTGTACTGTCAGCATAAACTCGCAAGGAATGGAATAGCATTTGATCTTACAGCTAAAGCAATTCCTTGGGGAGATGGTTTTGTCTTTTGCCGTCTTTCGTGTGCGCCGTTGCCTTCATCTGGTTCGTTCTTTGTCCGTAGCCAAACCTGTTCGATTTTCTCTCCGGAATTTAGTGGGTGATAAATCCAATGGTTCCCTACTGGTGTCGCATTTTCAGGTTTTGCATTTTGCCATCTGTTCTTTACATTTTCGTCAAGCTCGTGGTAAAAATCAAGAGACTCTCCAGACCCATGTGCATGGATGTCTACAAGGCAGTCTTCATACCAACACGCGGAATAGGCGGTGATACAAGGTTTGTTGAAGTCTAAAGCTACCATACGGGCTTCTATTGCCATACCAAGACTTGAAGAAGGCTTTTTCGTCACATGGTAGGCCATGTTCTTCAGTGATCTCGGTGCCATTGGATACGGCCAACAGATGGTGGGATTTAACGGCGCAGCTGCGACACTCCGCAGTTTGAGGCCCTAGCCACAGGTAAGAACAGCATATATTAAGAGAAGAATAAACTCACGTCGTCAGAAAAGGTCAGGATCGGGCTCACTACCGGGAGCGTGCGCCACCAGCCAGAGTTTCGCTCCTCGGCCGACACTGCCGGGGGGTCATTGACGATCTGTCTGATTCCTAAATGGTCCTCTGAGATATAAAGATAGTGATCTTCGCGGTTATTGGAGGCTTTCCAAAGCAGCTGACTGCCAAGTCTTTGTGTATTCGACAATGAGGCTATATAGTCGATGCCGTTTAGGCTGAAATGTGTTGCCCAGACATCTTTTAATGGCTCAATCGTCCATCGGCCGGGTCGACCAAGACCAGACAGCGAAACAATCGTATAATGCAGAACAAGATGTTTGTTTATCATGAACAAAATCTCGGTTGGCAGGTTTGTGAACTTCTTGCTTATCGCCTGGTGCAAGTGGTTCAAAATCCACTCGTGTCGACGTTCATCTTCTTTGGACGATGGCTCATAAGAGTAGCGAGCAGCATCAATGAAATCGTTCTTTTGAAGCCCCAAATTCGAGGCAATCGTAGAGCATTCGACATGATAGCCTGTTGTGGCACATGCGTCGTGGTCGCTTTCGCATCGCTTGAAAGTTGCGAATAACTTGGCGTCATCACAAGAGTCCTCGAATGCAAAAGTTGATGACTCAGTCCCTCCAGAAGACCCTACCATCAAGGGATGTCAGTGAGAAGAATCAAGGTCGGGTTTTAGCTGTGCAACTTACTGGCTGTGACAAGTTCATCAGGCTTGATCACGAAACGGCACCATCCACATCGTCGGCTAACACAATAAGAAGGGAAGGGTATCAAAGGAGGGACAGGGCTCGCATAGTTCAAAGCATGCCATTCCCAATCTTGGATAGATTCTTCCCACTCCAGGTCCATGACTCTGTTGATTTCTGCTGTGCTTAGTCCACCGAGTCCCGTCATTTTCAAGACTGTGAGGGGCACAAGAACTAGAAAGCCTGCTAGCCGACCGACTGTGTTGAAGTGAGTAGGTGCCTAGTTATATGTCGAGCTGAGTCGGGATGAGTGAATTAGCCGTGAAATTATGATGATATCACGTGGCGCCGTCCAACGTAAGAAATACCACAGCAGCCATAATGCGCCAAGGTTGGTGGTTTAGATATGAGAGGGGGAAGTTGATCGTCTCCATGCACGAATGCTCACTTCCCCAGCGTACATACGTAAGCTGACAATCTTACCAGTCATATTAATTCATTGTGATTTAAACTGATCCCCAATAACACAACATACAAGGCAGGTACTTACAAAACATCAAAAGATATTTTGGTTTTCGTCCCTTGTCATACACAGCAGTATCAGACGAGGAATTGTACGATCGGTTGCAGCGAGAGGTATAATTATATTAGAACTAGAGATAGTAAGAATTTCTTTAAAATATTCCGGTAGATATCGACGCTACAAAAAGCCCATTGGTGCGTCATATTTAAGCAAAAAGGAACACCATGTCGGCCATAATAATCTTATCAAGGCTATAGAAGCAAGCCAACAGTGTTGGGGAAACTTCAGCGCCAAACCAAGCCCTCTTTTGATGAAGAGGGCAAGTCATTTCCAAGCGTGGTCAACATTTGCAACTATTACGCTATTTCGGATTCACCCTCCTTGTCCGTGTCGATTTGTCGCTTTCGTGGCGCCGCATACTCATCCATCTTAGGTGAGCGTCGGATTGCGGCTGAAAGACCTCTCCTGAAATAAACCGGCCAATCTGCCTATCTTGACAGTATCGAGCATAGTCGTATGCCAAAAGCTTAACCTTTGGCCGCTAGTCAGATCAAGCATTCAATCAAGACAACTTCTTTTGCATCATATCAGCTAGCTCGTCAAGGAGTTCGACGGTCTCAGCAGGGCTTGCAATCCATGCCGTGGTGCCGACACTACGTGCCTTGAAATCGTTGGAGCCTGCACTCAAGAATTGATCGCCTACGTGCAGTGTATTCTCGCCGCGAATAGCGCCGCCATTCTCTTTACTTCCAAACCACTGCTGGCAAACGGTTACACCCCAGCTCTTGTCGCCAATGTCAACAAACACGTCGTTGCCGCCGTTAAAAGCACAGAATGGTACACGGCGGGACTGACTTGCCACTGAGGGTGGGATAGGTGGAGAGCTTGGGCGGTGCTTCGTTGGGCGCTTTTCGCTGGACCCAAGGCTGCTAAGCTCGAGGATACGTTGAACAACTAGGACGGTCTCTTCAAGGCTCTCGCGAGCAATACGAGTTCCCGGCGTCTTGGGAATAATTCCTACCGCCCTATCCTTGCGCATGATCATGGCAGGTAAATTAAGGTTGTTGACGCAATCACGAAGTGCATTCTCAGCAACATCCAACAATGTTGTAATGTCAGCATCTGACCATGAGGCCATCTCTGGAGTCAGCCACTGGGTGCGTGGGACAGGTGCTAGCTTGTAGGGCGAAGAGGGCGAGTACTCGAACAGATAATTCGCTTCGCCTCCCATGATCACAATGCTTTGCTTTTGCACAGGGTCTAGATCAGTCGACTCGGCAATGGCGTCAAGCAATCCGTGAAGGCGTTCATAGTAGCGGTCAGCAGAGGTGTAACCAGCAGCTGTGACAATACCGATTTTGATGTTTTTGCGCAAGAGGTCTGCAATCTGTCAGTGTTTTGTTTGGAGATAACTTATATAACAAACTTACCGAGAAGACGGGGAATCACCGGGCTTGTGGGCTCCAAATTGAAACCATCATCGTACAGTGTCACGTCACCATCAAACGTGGCCAGTTGCAACGATCCATTGGTTACAGCCATGGACTGGGCTGAATTGAGGATTTGACGAACATCGTTGAAGGATGGAGCAACGAATCTCCGAGATGAGATGTACCGTTTTCTGTCTTGGTACTTGAAGGCGGCTTCAAGAGGGAGGCGGGTGAAAAAGGGGCCCGCAGTGGGGATGAGCATCCGCAATTTTGATGGGAGCATACTGTCATCTTGTTGACGACTAACTACTGAGAGTCAGATGGCTTTTCTGTCAAGGGTGAAAGTGAAATCATACTGTGATCATCAATCATAAGCTCTACATCACGCATGATCTCAGCATAACGACGGTGAGCCTCCTCGGCCATCTGAGTAACACTGGGGCCATCTCCAAAGACGCCCGTGGGCTGCGAATATAGGACAAAAGGGACAGCTAGAAGACCTTTGACCCATTCTGAGATTCAAGTTAGCCAAGTTCGACATGAGTTCACAGTGAGGATTGTGAGACATATGATGCGGGGACGAGGCCACAAGGGCAACCATATATGTAGCTATGCAATATTTGGTTGATGGCTTGAACGAAGTTGGGTTCATCATACCGATAAATTGGTCTCTTCGGTGTGTCTTGAGAGCATCTGTTTGCTACTGTGAGCTTGTGCAACTATGAGGGTTTGAAGTACAACGATATGACATGGAGGCGGGGTTGTTGGTGGTTTACTTACACTCGACACGGTAACGGGTTGTCATGACTGTAGATGAGAAGTTTAGTGGTTCAAAGTTGGAGTTTCTTCTGATGAGGTAATGGCAAAAGTATGAGTTGTATGGGAGGAGAGGAGAAGAAGGAGAAGAGGGAGGAAGTCTTTGTGTTTGATAAGCTGAGGGGAGAGACGAGGCAGGACAGGACAGGACAAGACAAGACAAGACGGTGTGACTTGCCTTCCCTACCTGGGTAAGGTATGGAAGGGAGGTACCTAGACCGGTCCCTTCCCTGTAGGTACGGGAGCCGCCGCGGTGTTGGAGGGTTGAGCGGGGAACGCCGAGAATGCCCCAAGCTGTAGAGGGTAAGCGATATGATTGGTTCGGGAGATTCACAGATCCCCTGTCAATCTCTCCTGCATTACGGCATTGGCATTGGCATGCAAATCGAAATACCCTAGACTGACTACATTTCAGCCTCACGATTTCTGTTTCGAGCATTCATTCACAGCGTGAAATGAGCATAGGTTTGGTCTGGAATGAATGTAAAGGTAGTAAATCGCTTTGCAAGGTCCTAAACCGTTTTTACTGTTAGAAGGTAAAACGACCCTCAACGACAAGAGCTACCAATTGTGATAGTTTATAGTACACAGCACTACCTACAACCAGACAAACCCAAACCTCACCATGTTGCTGGCACCAGTCTTCCAAGGAAAATTGAATGCTCGACGCACACAAACGCTGCCTCATTTTTGATCGGCACGAACAAGTCAAGCCTTCAGTGGGCAGCTAAACCAGTGCTAATGCATGTCTTACGCTACCGTCAATAGTAGCCAGCCCCCAAATCTGTTCAAAGCGTAAAGGGCTGGCTGACGTGCCGTAGAACATGACAGAATTGATAGATCGACACAGCAGCCGAGTAAACATAAAACTGAATCGTCTGCTTTTCCATGAAGCACAGCGCTTCTCAGTTTCTTGTCCCGTTCTGCTGTGTAGCACATACCAAGGGTGATATCGTAGCAACCAAGCAGTTTGAACGACAAAAGATCAACCAGAATATAACGTGACGATTAGATTTATCTTCCATAATCGATATTAGTGAAGAGATGAAGGCAGAACTTGGGAGTTCGCTTCCACCAGGAGATAAGCATGCAAGTCCAACTTGCCCCCACCCTCGAGATGTTAGGAATTAACAGGATTGAAGGCAGTCAGTGTTTACATACCAACGTGGAAAGATACGTTGGCTTGGGCGAGGCGAGATCCAGAATTGATATCACAGCTAAAGACCGGCTACCCTCGATTCTTCGTACCGCTTGTCGTCGGCCAGCTCTCAGAAAAGTTACTACAATGGCCCTCCTGCGAATCAACCCCGGATAAGCTCCCGTCCGAGTTGAGAGCTTTATTAGCCGCTCCTGGACGGTCAGCGATGCTTCTGCCAGCAGGCCATTACGCGAACATGTGTCAGAAATATCTCAACGCCCAAAACAAGGGAGCCGTATTTGCCTTGCAAGCCGATTTCAACAAAGGAGTCTACCTTGCAGAGACTCTATACAAGAAGTGCTCTCCTGACGAGATTTATGCAGTCGTATATCCTCGAGAACTGGCTGCGGAAGCTAAAGCATTTTGGCAGCATACCGGTTTTGGAGTCTCGAGCCGACGAGCGACACACTGGCTGGAAAGCGCCCCGTTCTTGAACCGGGATAATAAATCACCTACATGCCGTCTCCAAAGCGACGAGGCTGCAGATGCTAAAGTTCGGGTACAAAAACGAATAGCCCGCTTGTTCAGCACAGAGACTAACAACCTGGATGCGGATGATATTTTCTTGTACCCAAGTGGCATGTCATCAATAAGCCATACTGCTGACACCATTGTACATATGAAAACCGATAAAAAGAGGACTGTCGCAATTTTCGGGTACGTAAATTGGGGGTAAGAAATCGTTGCTAAAGCTGACGTGGTTCAAGATTCCTCTATGTTGACACTTTCAAAGTCCTTAGCAAGATCTACGGGTTCGACTGCAAGCTCTACGGTGCTACGCCGTCCGACCTGGATGCACTTGAAGCCGATCTAGCTGGAGAACTACAGCTGAGTGCTCTCTTCACCGAGTTCCCAGGCAACCCTCTTCTCGGCTCAGTAGATCTCGAGCGTCTAAAGAAGCTCGCTATCGACTATGAGTTTTTATTCGTAGTGGATGATACCGTCGCTACATCAGTCAATGTCGAGCTCATATCGTACTGCGACGTCGTATGCACAAGCCTGACAAAGATGTTCAGCGGTAGCTGCAATGTTATGGGTGGAAGCATAGCGCTTAACCCCCAATCCAGACTTTTCTCAGTCATGAAGCGGCTTCTAAAAGACGGATTTGTCGATACATACTTCTCCCCAGACGCAATAGTGATGGAGAAGAACAGCGCGGATTTTCAAGAGCGAGTCATTACTGCAAGCGAAAACGCAGAGCGGACAGCAGCAATGCTTCGAAACCATGAATCGGTCGAACAAGTCTACTATCCGAAGGGCAACCCGACACAGGACATCTACGAAAAATACAAGCGACCAGAGAGGGGCTACGGATATCTTCTTTCCATTCGTTTCAGGACTCCAGAAGCTGCTATAGCGTTCCACGATGCGCTGAATGTGGCCAAGGGTCCAAGTCTAGGAACCAACTTCACTCTCTGCTGTGCGTATACGCTTTTCGCACACTTTTCTGAGCTTGATTGGGCAGCAAAGTATGGAGTAGTCGAGCACTTGGTTCGGGTCAGCGTCGGTATCGAAAGTCAAGAGACTTTGGACGAACTTGTTAGGACAGCATTGAGTGCAGCGTCACAGGCGAAACAGGAGTATGGTTACATCGGTGGTAAACTGTGATATAACCAGCTAAAGAATTTGCAATCCATTTCACATATCATCTCAATTGCAGCATTAAATGTTCTTCATCACGTTGGCTACAGCCTACATTATCTAACTAAGTACACATTTCTCTGCTGGATCATCATCGTGACGTTGCAGCCACCTATCAACAAGCTTGGGCGTATGGCTCGGGGTCACCTTTCCAATAAGAGCCCTTGTGTGAGTCCGATTGGAGGCACTCTGGCTTATATAGGCCCGAAACAAAACCTTGATCAATTACTGTTCAGGTCAGAGTCAGTGGATCAGAGAATGTGACTGCTATAAGTACAAGAGCAGTTGGCGGTGTCGAGTCAATCAGTTTACCCTCCCTTCATATCAAAATTCTACCATCCTTGGGCTTCAGTGCAGCTCAAGACATAATCATGCGTCTCTTACCACACTTTGTCAATCTATCCCTCGTCCTCGCGTGTGCCCGTGTCGTTTACAAAAGTAGTGGTCAAAATAGCCCGACTTACATCACCGGCCGTACCGTTGATTACACTCCAGGCAACGACTTGACCTTCTGGATCTTCCCTGCTGGCATACGTCGCCATGGCGGTATCAAAAGACACTCGTTAGAGTGGAAGTCTCATTATGCTTCCACCATGGCTGTCATGTTCAACAAGATCTCCGTTGAGGGAACAAACGAAAAAGGTCTCTCAGGAAGTTCTCTATTCCTCGGGGAAAGCAGCTACGGTAGACGCGATGGGCGTGATGGCATCTCGGCTGGTGTATGGTTACAGTTTTACCTCGACAATTATGGAAGTGTCGAGGAGGTAGCCAGGAATCACTGTCCCAGGAGGTGGAGGGAAAGGCTGAAACCCCAAATTGTCAGGGAGAATCCCGTAGGAGGCATCGTAACCAAGATGCATCTTGCTCTCTCAGACACCACAGGCGAACACCTCATCATGGAACATACCAGTCCTAAAATGCGACTCAAATGCTACCGTTCAAGGGAGTACGATGTTGTCGCCGGCGATACATATCACATGAAGCGATCGAGGAGCAAGGATATGATATGGAAGAAAATCAATGGAAGATCCAATGAACAGTGGCCTATGCCTTATGGTACGTATGTCCAATCCTGACAACCAAAATCAAACTCTTACCGTGAGCAATAGAGAGATACGATCGCCTCTTTTTCTACAACTATCACATCCAAGCATCCGAAGATTTTGCTTCTGCCCTTGCCACCACCATGGGAATGATACGCGGCGTCATGGTCCCCCAGATTAAGATCACACCGGAAGACAACAGGGATCGTGATTTATGGCCCACACAATGGATGATGTATACGGCTGCATCACAGGGCTTCGTCTATTTTGAGAGTGCCATAACTCCCTTGAGCTTTAACTACAAACTCTCCAACTTTAAACTCTCTGAAGGCTCTGATATCATGCTTCTCAGAGTAAGGGATCAAACGTGGAATTGGCAGAACGGAACAGGTGACGTGACACGGGAGTTTCGGACAAGAGGGGCGAGCGATCAAGTTCCCTTCATGGCCGGTGATCTTTAAGCATCTTGAGGAAACGGTATTGTTTGTTGTTATTGACAATACGCTGCTACACCAGAAAGATAATTAGTTTACAATAAAAATTGGTTGGAATACTGTGCCCTTGTTGCCCTAGAAGATCAACTACCAGAATTATTTAGAGAGAGACACAGTCATTCTTGCTGTCCTCGAGGAAGATGCCACCATATATAAGTCCCTCGTCCAAGTTGTCCTCCTGGAATCCAGCATTGGCAACATCATCGGTACCAGTAGGCTTCTTGAGCATACCGATCTGGTACTGTCCTTGTCCACTCAAGTCGCGAGCAATGGGCTTAGTAGCGGCCTTAAGGGGCTTGGAACCCTCAGAGTAGTAGGCTTGGATGGTGCTACAAATGACTGTTTAGTTGCGTTCTTCTTTCTGCGATGTGTGGCGGGAACTTACTTCTTGTCAAAGTTGAGAGTAATGGCAAAGTTCTGCCACTTGGCCTTGAGCATGGGAGTCTCCCAGAGCAGCTTCATCTTCTCATCAAACAGCTTCCAGGTCGCGGCGGCGTGGCCCTGACCGATAATGGTACCGGCCTGGAACTGGAACTGGTTTCCAGAAAAATCGGCCTTTTCGTGCCAGACATTCTATTATTGTTAGAGCCAGAGGAGAAAGAAAGGTTTAGCTACAACTTACCAGGTACTCGTGGCTGAGGTTAAGAGGTCGGTTCTTGTCCTGCATGAGACTGAAGTGAAGAGTCTTGATACCCTCAGAACCAGGGCTACCCTCGTTCTTGTCCTTGCTGAACTGCAGACCGGCACGTCTGAAGCCGAACTGCTTCATGAAGATACTCTCGTCGCTGATGGTAACCTCAAGAGGGAGGGTCTTTCCAGATGCATCGAAACGAGATGGGGTGGTTTGGGGAAGTTTGACGATCTCGGACCAGGAGATGTTGTTTCCCTTGACGAAGCCAGGGTTATAGGGGTTCCAACCGCCACCATTCTCCTTGTCAAAGTCGGCTAGAGTAGCATTCGCAGGGACTCGGCCATCGAAGACAACAGGGCATGCGTTCTTAGCTTTGGAGCAAGAACGGTCATCAGCTGGAGCAGCAGAGGCCACTGAGGCGAGAAGAGTGATGATAGCAGCAGCGCGCATTGTGAAGGTGTGTGAAACAGTGTATAGACAGCAAAGTAATGAGCGACAGAGAAGTGAATACTAGCCAGTAGTGGATGAGTTGAAAACAAGAGATACCAAGAACCAACTTTTATGAGCCGGCTCCTTATTAAATACATATACTGCTCTTTTGTTCCGTCAGTCTGGATTCGGCAAATTCGGAAGATATCCAGTTTCATAGCCATGTACCTTTGTAATATCCCACTTTCGGATGTTGGATTTCGGTATTCCACCTTCCGAACTATTTCTTCTATTGGAGGAATTAGTATCTCTTCCTTCAGAAATAGCACCTGAAACGTTTTCTAGAACCCAAAGATCTCTAGCGGAGCGCAATAAACTTTGATGTTTATTAAGGTTTAATTAAGGTACTGGGATCCTTGATAGTAGATAGAGCAGTCTCTTGACATGCCCATGATGGTTTCAGAAAATCGACACGGGCCATTCAGTTGACGCAGTAAATAGTTACTAATAAAGAGACATTTGGAAGAAATGATGTTGAATTTAAGTTCTATTAGAGGATTCTTAGAGGCCTGACTTTATATTTCCTCCAATGCAAACACTCAAGCTACATGGTACAGCAAACTCAATCTTTAATTGTGTTAGAGTATACGGAACAGCGGCACGGCACTCCTTATTCCTCACTTCTTGTCAAGTAAACTCTGAGCAGCACAGGTACATATCTTGTTCATCTACTTCTTATGCTCACGCCCGTCCACAACCTCAAGCCATCTCCTTTTCCCCGCGCTTCTCTCACGTTACATCTGGGGAAGACACTATCTCCAACATAACTCAGCGGCCAAAAGTCTTGTTCCAAATGTCGCACAGGCAGCACAGTTTATGAACAGTATAAGGTCCCCCACGAACTATAAATGCGGGCACAAATCAACATCCCTTAAACTCGGCATCTCATCCGAGCGAGTTTTGACTGCACATACACAGTCGGTGTGCCACTTCTTGCAGCGCGGTTCTTGCGGCTGACAGCCTTATTGACTGGGATGTGACTCGGCACGTTATTTCCGTGGTGGTGCATTAGATGGAAATATTGTGTGCCTGACAAGCATCGAATCCTTTTTGGTACAACACTACCCAACGGTTTGTGTTGAAGTCGGGGTTTATCACGCACCGACGGAAGCGTAGGGGCCCTTCGTTAGTGATACGGAGTTGAGACCCTGAGATGTAGAGGTTGTGGTCGCCACTGCCATCTAGACCTTTACAGACCTGGTAGAAATGTCTCGCTCAGTCAGCCAGCCACCTGCACGACTCAAATGCATACCTCTATCAACCTACCTTTGGCAGAACTTCGAGACAGTCTCGTGTGCCGTCCCAATCCGTGATATATCCCTCACTTTGACACCGTCTTTGGCCACTACCCGGCTCTGAATATAGCAAAATAATGAGACATACAGCCATGTCGCGTGGGATGTTTACATTGACACAGCTGTGTACGCCACGTGTGCGTGTATTCATCCGTTCCAGCAATATGGCCGAGAAACCGGAAGAATGACTCCAGATCCAAACATGTGACAAAAGGCATGCTATATTATCAACAAATCGAATGCTTCCATAGCCCTTCTACTGTCATAGATCTCACCTTAAACCATGTTTATCTAGATAATACTCTTGCTCAAATGTCACACGATTGGTACACCTCGTCACAAGCCTGTCAAAACACGCCATGAAGACGTAAAGTGCCACGGCCACGACACCAAGTCGTTCCGAAGACGGCTCTTCTATTATGGACACTAAGATACCAAGAAGAACGTGGTTTGCATTCAAGAGTTCAAGTCTATTGTGCTCTCTGCAGACAGACTACCACTGCAGTAAGCCCAGATGTACCAATACGTATTATATAATGTATGTAACATGTGCAATCTTTTGAGTGGGCGCATCTTTGCATCAACAGCATGACAGAAAAGAACAAAGCGAGTGAACTGATAAACCTCCGTTGTTAATCTTTCACCCTCCTTTTCTATGGGAGCAAAGTGAGGCAGAATGTCATGTTCCACCAGATTTCAAAAGAGCAAGAGACTGTCATTTCGGGGATATTAAGTCTGCGTGCTTGTAAGTAGTCCTCCGTCCTGCCGGTTGCAGTGCAGCAGCATCCGAAAGAAGCAAGGGAAAGTCTGTAAACTATGTACAGTTCGGTCTTGCAAAGAAGAGAAACGACAGTAAATCCATCAACTCCGGACCATGCGGGCCAGTCCCCCTCGCCATGGCCTTGACCTGAACGCCGATATATGTGCATACATGAATAATGAAGCACACAGCTCATTACACCCCTAACGTAATCAAGGTAACGGTGTGTTTGGCGATTATGGGGCATTTATGCCCTTCCATTATTCGTTAGTCATCGTCTAGTAGCCCGCCTGGCCTGGCATCTTGCCCAGGGAGTGAGAGCCAGTTCCCTTTGGGGGCAAGTGGTTATGACAGAAGATCTTCTTGTTGCCATTTATGGAGTTGTCTTTTTTGGTGGCATCGATGAGTAAAGCCGGGTCGTCATAGGATTCGAGCTGGCAGCACTCAACGTTTTTCAGCCAGCGGTTGTTGATGACTTCGTCGATTCCGATACGTTTGCTCGGCTCTGGGTTCAGCATCTGTAGGACAAGACGGCGCAAAGCAGGCGGGCTCATGCCAACGTCGAGGGCGTAACATTTAGGGTAATCACTATCGCTGATGGAGGCGTCGCTCTCTGGATGCTTCGCATACCATTTATTCCAACCCGTGACAAGCTTGTCGTAATGAAGCTCACCAGGCTCTGCTCGGGACCAAATAGCGCCTCCAAAGGTAAGGTAAATCATGACAATCGCAGAGCTCCACACATCAAGGGCTCGGGGGTCGTAAGATTCCTTCTTAGCGAGGACTTCGGGAGCGATGTAAGGCTCACTGCCACAGATACCAGGTGAGCACAGGCGGGTTTCGCCACCCATATTACGGCCGCATTGTCCGCCAGCTTCACGAAGACCCGGGTGGGTACCACAGAAAACTTCTGACACACCGAAATCAGTGATCTTGAGCTTGCTATCCTTGGTAATGAGAAGATTCTCAAGTTTGATGTCACGGTGGGCAATACCGTTGACATGAAGATAGTACACGCCTTGAATCAATTGCTTGAAAAGGCACATACGGTCCTTCTTACGATCGTCGCCCTTGAGGTGACCTTTTTGCACGAGGCTGAAAAGATCACCTTCGGAACAGTATTCCATCACGTGGTTCCATCGCCCATGGTCGGTACAGAGGCGGAAGGTCTCAACAATGTTTGGGTGATGTAGACTCTTTGCAATGCTGAATTCTGACTTGATCTTGTTCTCGTAGTCTTGCTGGCTTTCGCGGTGCGATTTTCCACGGAACTCCTTTACGGCATAAAGCTCTTCTGGATATCCCTTGCGCATCATGAGTGTGACCTTGGACGCGGCTCCCTTGCCAAGATGCTTGCCATGCCGACCCAGAAACTTGCGCTGGTATTCGAACTCGTTTTGCAGCTCAGCCACATCCACGGCAAAATCGTCAGGAAGACTCAAACTCATGCGGCGAGCCTTGGCACCAGTTCCGGACTCTGGAGGAAGAGGCCAAACACTCCGCTCAGGTGGATACATAGTCTCGTCGCCTTCTGCGGGTGGTGGAAGAGGTGTACTAGGGCGGCTGCCGTCATAGCTACTAGCTCGGCGGTTGTATTCAGGGCGCTTATTGCCATTTCCTCGACCGTTGTGATTCGCACCAACGAAATTGATGGCTCGGTTGCGCAAGGTAAATCCAGTGGAGGCGCGGTTCTTTTTAAAATCGCCCTGGCTAGGAACAGACTTGTCACCGTCACGTTCGCGGTGTGTAAGATTCATCTCGAGGCCGTTATCGCTGGGTGAGGGAGGAGAGTTGGAACGAGTTGTGGCAGATGAACGGTTCATGGAGAAGCGGCGACGAGCCGCAGCTCGCGGCTGGCCATTAGTCTGGGGTTCAGTTGGCGCGGATACGACCGATGGTGTTGCTGATTCTGAAGGGGTATAGTCGTTCCTGGCTTGTGAATTTGATCTTCGAAAGAAACTTGACATGGTGCGTTTGAAACTCGCGGTAGATATGGACCCACGAGTCGACTGACGGGTAAGGGAGCTGCCAGGCTCTGGCTCTGACGCTCTTGGGGTAGTTGGGGTAGTGGGTGGTTGGCTTGCGGACTGTGAGAGATAGCCCCCTTTGTTGTTGTTGTTGCCGGCGTTGGCACCTGGGATCGCAATAGGCCCAACCCCTGAAGATGCGACGGAACCGGCTGGGTAAGACTGCAGGCTTTGGAGATCTTGTAGGTCCTGTGTTTGAAGTGTGAAGTCTTGTGAATGACGACCGCTGACAGGAGTAACAGGTTCAATAGCAGATTCGCTTCCTGATTCACCGCCTTCTTCTAAAACAATTGATTCAGTAAGATCGGTGGAAATGTTGCGAGGCGAAAATGAAGACTGAAACTGGTTTGCGCGCAATGTTGATGGTGAGGTACTTTTATCTGTGGAGGACACAAGCAAAAAGACGTCAGCAGGCAGGGATAAGTTAGACTGGGGAAGTTGCAGGGTTCGGGTTGACATGGGACAAGGCTAAAGATCAACCGGGGGGTGCATGAGGCAGAAATAGATGGGAACTCGAGAACGAACAGAATAAGAAGTGAAGAAGGAAACGAGTGATCAAATCAAGCAGGGAATTAAACGGGACCAACCCCCAAATCGCCAAGGCTAGGCCCAGTGAAGGATGGATGGATGGATGTATGTCATGAATTTGTCAAGTCATGCTCAACCCAACAGGCATAGGGCAGGACAGGCCGGGATGGTAGGCAAAACGAGCAACGAACGAACGATTGAGCATGTGGGCTGGCAAATATTTGAAGCAGACCCAGCTGGTTGCAGGCAAACGCTTGCTTTCTCAGCATCTTCTGGAGCCACTTACAGAAGCCGCCTCTCGAAGCCGCACCAGCAAAGTCCCGCCGAACTTATCGCGTCACTAAACCAATTTGTGCAGGGTCCACGGAGATACTTCTCGCTTTCGGCAGACACGGGAATGACGAAATGAAGACTGAGTGGTAAAAGCGGAGAATAAAAAAAAGGGAGTAAATGAATCGATTGATTATGAAAGAAAACGAAAGAAAGCAAAATGGATACATCAGAAATAGAGAATGAATTGGCTTTGGAAACGGTTGAAACAAGCAAATGGATGGGGACTAACTGCCCAAAAAGGGTATAGACAATGGAAAGTGGCAAATCAGGAAAAGGAAGAATGGGCGAGTGATTACAGAGACAGAGAGAAAAAAGTCCATACCTGTTGCTGTTGCTCTTGCTGAGTCGAGCTGGTGGGGAGCCAGCATTGTTCTTGGGGCCGAGAGTACCGCCATAATGACTTATAGCAAAAAGGCACTTCTTCTGTTTTATCTCGATGGAGAGTCTGTTCGGTCCGTGATTCTGGACGGGGTACTGGGCTTCGGCGTACTAGCAGCGTCCAAGATACACCAATCCAAAGGTGCAGGTCGGGACAGCAGCTGGTCACTTACAGAGGCGGGTAACCAACAAGTGAAGTGAGGGTCACACACCATCCAGTGACTGGGTCGGTTGGAGTGATGAGGCGCTTCAGCGACTGATCCGATGTACAGGGCACTATTGGTGCTGTGCTGTAGCCTGTAATCGCTGTCCAGGCTGGCTGGAGAATGTGCGAATGTGGTTGGTCCGTCGGCAAAATGGGAATGGAAGGCTTCAGCGGCAACACCGAGTCAAGGTAACAGAAATTCCAAGACGGCTGTCGACGATATGAATGTCGTGATTAAATTAAAAAGGTGTTGTGTTCAATATAGGCGAGGCCGTTTTGCGTCTCGTCTCGGCCGAATTTGAGAAAAGATAGACTGACTGTACACAGTTGGTCTGAGACGATCAAGATCTTCTGCCCGTGTAAGCCTGATGGTTGTCGATGCGGCAGATGTCCTGAACAGGGTCTGATGTCCGTCCGTTTCTCGGCGGTCAACTGAACGTTGAGTACCCTGGATTTTATCCAACCGTGTCGTTCGTTGTATTATTATCTCCCCAGTCTGTGGAACAAAAAGCTAGGGCTGCATGGGAGGTCGAGGTGGTCGGAGAAGAGGATGAAGCTCAAGTGGAAGAGGGGGCGGCATAAGTAGCCCGTAAGGTATTAATATTAACCGTAGGTGAAGCCAAAAAGCAGCACAGTCGAGATAGTTTCCCTCTCCAGATCAGATAAAGATCAAGATCAAAGGGAAGGGAAGGAAAAAGTTGTAAAAAAGGGCGAGATAAACTGAGGAAAGGAGAGGAGCAAAAAAAGCGCGCAGCTTGTTCTCTTTTGTGTCTGGCTCCATCTATAGAGTGCTCCAGCAGATACATGCAAATTATGAATGAAGCACCAGCTGCTGTGCTATTACTCGGTACAGTCGATCAATTCGGCCCCTTCATCATCCAGAGCCAAACCAAACTAAGAACCCTCTTTGCTCTTTGGCTTGATGGTGGACCAGACTCGACGTGGGGAACTCGACCGGGGCCAGGATTAAAAGTGGGCGGAGGGGCGTGCAGATTGCGAGACTGGCTGATTAGGAAAATGGGTACAGAGGTATGCAAGTACAAATATATACACAAATTTTACTGATAGTGATGATGGACTCTTTTGACCAGAGAAAAGCCCCAGATTTAATAGATATCCTGCCCTCCACTGATGAACAAGACAACAAATTATCGTTTCTTGAGTTTGTTGAAGTGCCAACGCTGCTACTTCTTCCTGTACAGTTCATATTGGATTCCCAAGTATGGTAAAAGGCAGAGAGAATAGCACACTTTTGCTTTACGCCCCCTACTTGGCTAGTGGGTAGCAGAAGAATCGACCTGCAAGCTTTGGGCTACAAAAATAATTAGCCCAACAAGTATGGGCAAAATAGCATAAATTGCCATACTAATTTAGTCTCTTATGTTTCTGGCAGCCAACTTTTCTGGTACCCTGATGCTTAGGTTGGGGTTGAGTGAAATGGTTCATGTGTGAGTGGGGGCAAGCTGATGATCGAATAGCAACAAATTATAGATCAGATTTTGAGATCAACAACGACTCTCATCAGCGGTACAAAAGTAATCAGAATTGCACTTCTTCGGCTTCATCAGTGAGTGGTGAGTCGTACAGATAATAGTGCTCGGTCACTGCTCGCTCAATCTTCCTAATTCTCGGGCAGATAATCGCAACACGATTGGTTCAATCCCTGGCAGATAATGCACAGTGTGTAAAATCCCAACTAAGGAAAATATCGAATCCACCTCTTATGCGACCCAGTGAGTGGGTGAATCGCCTTCTTCCCAGATGCAGATGCAGGAGGAGGACGGAAATTGAGCGTGAGGCGACAGTGGGCGAGCATGGAAAAAGCTTGGCTGCTTGAGCCGTTCTTCCCTTTCCCTTCACGATGACCGACGTGCTCCAGTCTCAGTCTGCCCTGTCCTGCCCTGTCCTAGGCCTGAGCCTCCTGCTGTTGACATGGCAGCTGCCTTTTCTGTTCTAGAGCTGCAGAGCCCTAAGACAAAGAGTGCAGCCTATTAATAGCTTAACATTATGTTTATTTTGTCCTTCCTTGCTATCAAGGAGACGTAGACTCGTTAAAGAACGCTACAATGCAGTTTTAGCAGGACAAGCTCACCTGCAAAGCAGATGACAGTCCGTGCAGGTGCCGTCGAATCAAAATAGTACTGTACCTTTTGAGCGACTCGGATGTTCTGATTGGCTGAATGACCCCATTCCGGTCTCACTTTCCCCATCTGGGGCCCCTTGGAGGTGGTTCGCTGTCCTCCTCCAAAAATGCAAGTGCCAACCAACCATCCTTCCTCACCTGTACAAGCTCCACCGCCATCATAATTGGTGTAATTACTCAAAACTTCATGAACAGCTGCCAAATTATCATGAACTCTCACACAAGCTGCTTTCCATGACTGTTCTATGTAACGTTTATGTGGCTTCGCCACGAGCAATTGACTAAATCTGTGCCTCATAGGTAGCTCCTGTCTTGCTCGCCCGCCGCGGCCCAAAGGCACTTACTTACCTCACCCCACGCAGTTCCAGAGCGACTGTCTGCCCGAGACCCTGTTACAGCCAAGACTTTTCAGAAAGCGATCGTGACGATGCGCAACGGGAATCACAATCTTCCAACTCACCAGTCTATCCAGTTACATCATTGCAGAGAGTCTCAGGAACAGCGGTCAATTCATCGAACAATCACAGTCATTCTTGGTGACGATCCTCCACGTATCATGAATCCCCACCAGAAGTATTCGTGTTTCTGTTCTCAGCAAATCACCCACCTTTCCTGTTCCCTCTCAGGGGCAGCAAACGACTGAAACAGAAGTACGGAAAACATTTGGACAGGGAACTGCTGTGCATAGGTGCAAGTATGGCTACATGCTTTTATTGCTACGTCTCCAGCGGTCAAGCTTGTCAATAATACTGCATGGCCCCTGACCGAGGCGCAAAAGTCAATAATCCCTCTCATCAGCCTTGTCCCCTCCGCCCTCCTTGCTTCGCAATTGAGCGAACCTAGCATCAGCAACTGGCGGTGCGATAACCGGATCCACGTCAATGTTATGTTCCCTACTTTGTTTCCTAGGGGCAGCTCGCGTGCCCTGGGAACCAAATCAAGCCCTCAATCAATTCCAAATTACGGAACCCAGCAGGCCGACGGGGCCACTGCATCGTCAAGCACAAAATACCCCACGCAAGCCGTGAGTTTTACAGACAGCAGACGACCGCACAACACCGCGCTACCACCCACGCGTACCCGCTTGCTCGCCTCATCTCGTCTGTTGACAGAGATTGGACCTGAGCCCAGGCAAATTAATCATACGCCATGCAATTGTCTATGATCACCTATACTACACAGTACAGAGTACACCATCACCATTCAGAGTGAGGGCGGCATAAACATCCACCGTAATTGACGTCCCTAGCTGGTGTTGATAAAAGTTACTCTGGAGAGACGATAGCTCATACCGACATGAGAAGCGCAGCAAGCATTCGCCAACATGAACAGGGGTCAATTATAACTTCTCAATTCGCATGTCGGTTCTTGCTCCAATCCTCTTACAAACAAATATGAATTGTATGCCTTGCCATGCTTCGATCTCGATCAGGATTGGTCGATTTGGTTTCTGAGAGCCGCATTTGGGCACATCATCTTCATCCGTGAAACCACACTTCTAAGACTAACTAGCATACATGCCACTACGACTTCGCTTTTCAACACTGGGCAGCGCTTACCCGGCCGGCATGCCTTCGTTGATACACAAATTCCGGGCTGCTTCCTGATCTGTCTCGCCTTTTGCGATCTTGGACTGATAAATCCGTGCCGGCAGTTTGCTACGAATAGGTAATGTTGCTAAACCAGCTCGTCAACACAGCCACTGTGTGCAGTGTCAAGGCTTGCGTCGACATGTCGGTAAAGATCGTCTCTGCCTTGTCATGGAGACACGCAAGCAGCAGATGTTGTGTATCCGGAAGGCCCTGTTCCATCAAAACCTTTAGATGCGTTGCGTTGCGTTGTGCTGCAAGTTTCTTCAGGTCATGCTGTATGCGTGGTGATTGCGTCTCGTAGTGACGCAGGAGTAAGACAAATTGCGTGGCGGTTTGAGATTATACAAAGTAAGCTTGAATTTTAACTCACATCTGTCACGCTTGATCAACATTGAGATAAATCATGAGCGGCATTCACGTACGTATTCCTTTCTTTGTGCAACGCAAATCCCATGGGGATTAATTAAGCTCAAATTGGATATCGGCATACCCCCGTGTGGCCTGTCTGAGACAAAGTCGATCTGTTTGAGCATGCCTAACCATGTTGGAATAAGAATGCTTCTCAAGATTCATGCTTCAATAAGGCATAGGAAAGGATATTCGTTCAAATTTCCGTTTCGTTCAAGTTACACAACGAATTTGGTTTAGATGATGGCATCTGCACTGTTTGGTCTCGACAGTCCCTTGTCGCCAAGACTATCGGCGTTTCCCCCTGTTCTGGCGACCTTCAAAGGGTCACCACCGAGATCTCGGCCGGCACAGCTTGTCAAGGGACCTTTCGGGGTCTCTTCTTAACTAATTGCACAACGATATTGGCGAATTCGATCTTCTCCCCAAGATAGCCCAAAGCTTATGGCTCCACATGAAGCACTGCGGGCGCTTAGAGCGGTTATCTTTTCGATTTTGAAAGATCTCGTGCGAGAAGTTGAGAATTCAGAGCCGGCCCGGTGTGGGATCTTCATTCCACGCCCACCACCAGTCAAGCCATCTCTCGCCTCTGCACGACAGGGATGGCCGACACGGGTACGAGTGCGTCATATGCGCCCCGGAGAGACAAGGAGGTGGAGCGATCCCTGGTTATCCCGTTGCACGGTCCCCTGCCTTTTGTGTCTCTTACAGACTCTCGATCGTTTATTGGATGTTGAACATCGTCAAACATGCCTTGGCAACAGGTTATCCGCGTGTTAGAAACAAAGTCTTGCACACGTTGGTTACCAGAGAATCGACGAGGATTTTCCACCCTCTTTCATCAACCAAGTTGCTGTCGGCCCGCACATAAAGAGTACTACTTGATAGACATAAACTAAAGTCTTGGTATAGTTCTTGAACAGGGCTTAAATTGAATCGACAACAAGGTTATCGAGTCCAGACCCTCAAGTCCTAAAACATTAACCAGAATCATTTCGAGTACAATACATACGGACGGCACATAGGCCATCCTAGGAGTCCGTGGGGTTCGCATCACAATTTGACTTACAGCGCCAAACGATGCTTGGCAATTTTCTAGTGGACTTGATATGGCCTAGTTGGATAGACATGGCCAGAGCATTCATGAGTCAATTGTCTAATTCATTCTTCACCTGAGTATTCGGCAGATCACCATTATGTTTCCGACAAGGGTCAGTCTTAAACCCTACAGAGTCTGTCATTTGGATATGCCAAGCGCAGCACGCACAAGGGTATTGACAGACTGATAGAATCCGACGCTGGTCTGTCACAATGGAGGTATGATCACAGCTTCTTGAGTCTCCTCCACCATCTAGCCTCATCATGGGCTTGCCAAGCTTAATTGCTCAAGAGACCTCATCACCATAGAATTCTCTCTCTGCAGATGCTCTGATCGTTGACTATGCTTTGTCTTCCTGGAACTCGTGACAAGACTTTTCTTGTGTGAAGAAGAGTCCCCTGTTCAAAGTACGTGATCCGCCATGTATCAGTATCAGCTGAGCATCAATAGATTCCCAAGTGAAAAGCAAGGATGCCAACACGATGGCAACAAGTTCGCGAGTAACACGTTGACGTCCAATACTCCCCCACTCAATTGCTCCATATCCAAGACATCAGGCGGCTCCTCCTGTATTTGCTCCGCTTCGTCTTGTGCAGACGACCCGATTTCCGACCAAATGGCAGATACGAGCTAAGACTATGCTGTCTGTCTTTCCAGTCTGGCTGTTGTCTCCCGTCTCCATGACCGCGTTTGACATCTTCAAAAAGGGAAGTATTAACCATGCCCAGCAGGTGGTGGATAAGCTCACTGGATGTCAAGGACTCAACCCTCGCAACACCATGAAGATTGCTGACACCTTATTGACAAGCAGCTCTAGGATCTAAATAAATGCCGGGGCCCGCCGCTACACCTTCTTCAATCCCCACCAAAGAGAGATAGATACATGGCGCTGTAAGTACGCTCATCGCACCAAAGTCAAATGGGGGACTAAAACACGGCATGGCTTAAGGCTGAGGCTACGAAGTGAGGAAGATAGCTGAGAATCAGTTGGTCCCAACCTTGTATCCTCATGATTGATTACGAGGAGACTAAAGAGGGAGTGTACATCACCATCGGTCCGGCCACCGCATTATCGCCGTTGAATTAGAGCCGGATCGGTTGATAATGATAAAGCCCTGTTTCTTATGCAGATAACTGCACTGGCCTGGCGTTGTCCCAGTGCTTTGCAGTTGAGCCCTGGTGGATTGCAAGTCCACAAGAATGGCATCCCAGCCTTACAACTTGGCTGATGTTGGACTGAGTTGATGGGACAAGAGAGCCACAACGGGTACGTCAGTATTCAGAGTCTCAATTGGCAAGATGAGCAACTCTTCTCTGCTCAATTGTTTGGGAGAGGCTGCACTACAACGCCCACGATGTTCCAGACTCAAGGACCCGCTGCAAGAGCAAAGGCACGCGGGACTGCACTGTACAGTTGGTTGCAGTACTAAGGGTCCGCTTAAAGTCGAGAGACAGAAAATGCCTCACCACAACGAACCAAAACAGATTGAACAAACGGCTTTCGACGGATAATAACCTTGATATTTCACTTGCCTTACCTGGTAAGTGCTCCCATTGAAATGGAACCAACAGCCTGGGTATACCCTCTCAATTCAGCTCATCACCAGTTGCTATGATTACTCTTGTTGGATGTTTTGCAGGGGCGTCATGCGACTCTACACACATCAACCATTTTTCAGACTGAGAATTTCATGTTAGACGGACTCGAGGTTCAAACAATAAGCGCACCTGTCATTTCCTATTTCCCCATCACATGACCGTTTAAACTCAACAAGGTTATCGAGATGGGTTGCGACGTTGGATTCGATGACGAGTGACAGTTGGTGAAGCTCATGTAAAGATATGTCACTGGTGCCAGGGTTTTACCCAACTCGTCGGTTACTGAGGGAGGGGTGAGATGATGTTATCCAGCATCCCAGCTATTCAGGGTTCAGCGATGGGGATTGGTTAACCCAGAGATCGCCCAGGACTAGTCATTCGAGACAAGACAGCCTCTTTCAGTCTTTCCATGCATTTATTTCCAAACTTCGTTCTTCTTTGGCGCCGGCTTGGCCGATCAAGCTTACAAGCTTCATCATTAAGTTTAAAACTGATGAGGGGTATGTGGCCAAGAGGTGACTGACTACAGGTTTTGGGTGGGGGGGGGGAAACAAGCTCTTTCTCAACGCAGTAACATGCATCGTCTAACGGCACAGCTCATGGCATTAAGTCTTGGCTTTCTCTTGGCTCACCTAAGTGCATACAACAGTTGTTGTCTAGAAACATAACAACTTGAATCATATCAGGCCGAGTGGTAAATAGAGGTTGCAATGCGTCGACAAGAGTTGCTCCCTTTACTACAGTACCTAGTCACCTCATAATACTGTATAAAACAGTGGACGGGCAAGCCACTTCCAGCCTTCCCTGCCATACCCCATATTCTGTGCGGAGACATTTGCACTTCTTTTAAGAAAATCTGGGGAGCGAGCGGATGAGCTAACTTACTACAGTGGTGATGAAACTCGGAAATGTGTGGGAAATCAAGAGTCTGCAGTCCCAAAGCCCTTTCTACAAACTCTTGGCGGTGCTACTAAACAGAGTAAAAGTACAATATCTCCGCAATGTAGTAAGCTGAGTTGAAGCTGGGATAAGATCCAATCATCAGCCCAGCGGCATATTCTACCTTAACTGGATATTATCTATTGACTGTGTTTCCATCTGAGGTAACTTGTTGATTGGTTTCCCAGCCTCAAGCATAACCTCCCCTCGTCCGCGCCTGAAAGCCGAGGGTATCAATTGGTGGGATACTGGATCAACATATTAGCCTATTGCAAGCTGTGTAGCTAACTAATCATTATAACGTTTTTGAAACGTCATCTCAAGCGGGTTTCTAGCCCCGAGTTCTTGATAGAAACTGGGGGGCACCGAGTTTGGCATACCAGGGCCATAATAATAGATACTTGCTCGGTACCAGGACACCCTCTATCTGGATATCTGACTTGTCTCTCCCATCAACATAGAGGTCAAATCCAGTACCAGAACATGTAAAGGAACATTCATAAACATTGCCTACCCACACCCGGTATTTGCGGAACCCATTAGATCATCCTCCCGGCAAGGTGCAACCTTTTCCATCCCCAAGCATGCACAATGCTGTATCTTGATTCAACCTCGTATCAAGATACTCAACTCGGCAATATGAGGCATTCATGGTGTTTGTCTTACATGTACATAGAAGGCGTGAGGGTATGAATGTATGTGCATACCTTGACAAAAGGTCCGAAACAATGGGCACTCAATAGACAATTGTTTCACTTTGCCAAACAGACATGAATGTTTCCATAGCCAATATAGGCAGTTCTTTATGACTACTCAATTCACTATGGTGTAATATCCTCACTCAACCAAGAGCCCGTCCGCCGTCCAATAACGCCAAATCAATAAGTAAAAAAGACAGGTTAGAAGGGAGTTTGCTCCATCAGGGACTATTGGTCAACCCGATTATGTTTGATCCAAAACGCCTAGTTCTCTCTTTCTTTCTCAATGTTGAGGTGGAATGTCTACTTGGCTTCCTGTGCAGCAGTAGACCGTACAGGGCTATTGATTTCCATATCTAAAGTTTCGTTATCCATCCAGCCAGAGAAATCGTCGTCGTCGTCAGCCGCTGCAGAGGTGGCGGGTAGTGCATCCACTGGACTGTCTGGCTTGTTGTCCTCCTGCACAAGAGAAGACTCATTAGTGAGCATCGAGGGAGCGTGAGAAGTACCGCTGTCTGTCACGGTCTGTTCATCGCTCGAAGCCCAAATTTGATGGTTCAAGGGGTCATCTCCCGAAGGTGTAGCTGGCTGGGAGTCTTCAGGAGCAGCGACGACGAGCACATTCTGCACGTTATCTGGTTCGGGAGCGTGGCTCTGTCTGCGTCGTCCGCGCTGGGGTAGTGGAGGACGGTATTCGCCATGGTTGTCATGATCATGGTCGTGATGAGTCTCATGATGAGTCTCGAGAGACTCGGCTGAATTGTGCGCAGCTGAGTTGGGGACTGGCTTTCTCGCAGGGACGCTCGTCGGAGGTGCTATCCGCGTCATGCCATTAGTAGGCTTAGGAAGGGGTGTTCCAGGAGGAGGCAAGGGTTGACCTCGGCCCATGGGTTGGCTAAGATCAAGCTGGCTGGCTTGCTCAGCCAGTCTTCGTGCCTCCTTGTGTCGCTGGTAGGCGTTCCAACCCCACTGCTTGGCCTGCATTGCTGCGTTAGACACAGCAGCTAGTGTGGTATGCTTGTGATTTGAGTTCTGATCTTGCTGTGGGTCCCGAAAAGATTCACTATGTTCTGGCTCTTCCTCTTCTTCATGAACTGGTGTCTCCCCATGGTTATGTTTTGTGAAGAAACCCCTTCCCAGAGAACCCGTTTGGCTCTTGATAGATTCCTTAAGGGATGAAGCAGAGGAAGCAGGTCTTTCATCGGCGTGAGACCCTGAACCGGTCGATGAAGTTGTGTTGCGACGTCCCATAGCAACTGGCGTTTTCTGGGAATCTTCTGCTACGCCGTTGTTTACAGCGTCGTTCACAGACGAGGATGAGCGTGAAGAGCGATTGGAACGTTGAGAAGCGGATGAAGCCACTGGTGGTACATCCGCTGCTTGGGGCGGTCGAGGAGACGCATCTTGTGAGCGTGAGTGCAGAGCTGCCATGTAATTGGTAGCATGGTCAGGGGGTGAAGTTGACGGTTTGAACACGTCGGCGTGGGCGATATCAGTGTCCACAACAGGTTGGAGAGATGTCTTTGAGATCTTAGGCTTTAAGACTGGGCTCGCTCCTGGACCTTTGGAGTCGACACTGGTTGATGATGCAGAAGCTTGAGGGTTGGTGCCTGTCCTGCTGAGCCTACGCCCGAAAAGGCCTGTTGGTGGTGGCGTCGCTTCCATGACGGGGATGGTATGACTCTTCTCAAGAGGTCGTGTCTCCTCTGTCAGGTCCGGGTTTCCGTCAAGATGGCTGACAGCAGCAACATCTCCTGCGGCTGCTACGATGCTTTCGGCATCATCAGTTGGGACTGTGGCATTGTCTCCATCGAAAACGCCACCTCGCCATTTCTTGTGCTCTGTCTTGAAGAAGGGCATATCGTCCCAGAATGGCAATACGACAGTCTCCGCGATGACTTCCTTGATACGGTTCTCAATCTGGCGAAGGATTACTGTATAAGTGATTTGTCTCGCACTAACGATGGGCTCAATATCCATTTCCATCTTTGGCATGCTCTGAAAGGTGACCCAAATTCGATTGCTCGGTGGTGGCTTGATCTTGATCAGCATGTGGCCTTCGGTTCTCTTGAGTACAGCTGCAAGAACAAGATTAACCTCTCGAGTTTTGAATCTACTTCCGAGGTCGATCTTTGCCGTAGCGGCAATTTCGATACGAGCGTTTCCTGAGTACTTGACATCGGCTTCCACGACACATTCTCCTTCAACCGTGAGGTCCTTCAATTTAAAGTTGCTAAAGAAGGGAGCCGCATCGCCGGTGTCGATCCCGTTGATGGTAATGTTGGTGAGAAAGGCGGGTTTCTTGACACGAGAGATCTTTTTGGTGAGTTTCTCACGAATGAAAGCCTCAATATCCTTCGTCTTGTTGACTCCCAAGAAAATTCTTCCGAACAGCGCATTGATCCATCTCGAATGGACATTCTCTTCTGTCGAGTGAAGTTTCTGAACCAGGGAGATAATGTTCTTGACGTCAAAATGCAAGGGCCTTGGTACTTGTCCATCCGCCCCATATGTCTGCTCTTGGTTCTTGAGTAAAGCGAAATAAAAGTCTTCTTTGGCTGAACAGTTTTCTGAGAATAGGAAGAAGGGTTTCGAAACTGGACTATCGGGGGCCAATTCGGTGCCAGCTGGTTTTCGGGATAGTCGGATCGCATTTCGCTTGATAAAAAGCTCGCCTTCCGGGGTGACATCGCCGCCAGAGTATATACTAATGTCATGATATGCTAAGGAAATAACATGTCGGACTTCAACTTGCTCTTCGTCATCGAACAGCATTAGGTGGCCATGTCTAGATCAATGTCAGCGAAGGGACGCGGGGCATGGATAAGCTACACGAACCTCAAGACCACGTAAAATACGTTACCAGCATTCTTGGGTCGCTGACTCGTAGTGGTACTGTTGTTATCCATAGGCCCTGGTGTGGACTTCCTCTCGAATATGCTCCGGTACATAGTCTGGTAGACGCTGGGGCTTGAAGGGGCCACGGTCGCCGAGCCCACCGGGGTTGATCTTTCGATGGGCTTTGCGTTAATGCCCATAGGCGTGTACTCTCTGCACACGGCGAAGAAGCCAGCTGCTACATCGAGGTCGTTCTCGTGCGCGCGGTTGTCCTTCTTGTGCGACCGCTTAGCGGCCTCGAGGGCGGTTGTATCATCGTCCTTATCAACAATAAGGCTGCATTTGTGTTCGTTCGCGGCATCGTCAAGAACGGGAGAGGTGTAGAAAATGAACGCCAGTACTGAAGCAATCACTAGAGGTACGAATGTGAAACCGCCCAGCACGTATGCTATAAGAAGAGAAGTGAAGCTGGCCATGGCTCCGAGTTCCGGAGCTACAAAGGCTTATGAGCGAGCGAGCTTGGGCGTAGGAGGGGCTCTACAGCCTCGGCTCTTCCGTAGCTAGAGACTATGACGAGAAAGACGCATCGGAGGTATCGAGGGAATTCGTTTTCGAAGGGAGAAAAGTCGAGGATGTTGATTCTTGGTTGGGGGAGGCGGGATGATTATACGCGGAGTCACTTGATAGGCTGGCGACTGAGTGTAAGTGACACCGCTACAGGCTAGAGAGGGAGAGGTGAACTTGGAGATGGTATTAGCTACATACGTCATGTGATGAATCCACTGGCTAACAGCGCTTGCTCCCCNCCCCCCCCCCCCCCCCCAACTGTTCCGCTGACAGGTAACCTACTTAGGGAAGGCCATGGAAAAGACCTCCATCCAGCGGGTCTGAAGTTGCCGAGATTTGTTGTGAGGTAAGACGTAATAAACTAACTACCAGACAACTATTTCTTTGGAGCTTTGTTCAAGAGAAAGCGCGTCTCTCAAGTACAGTTTCAAAAAAGTAAAGCCAGATGATCGCCCGTCGGATCAGAACCAAATCTTGAGACGAAGACCAAGTACCGAATACGTACCGAAGAGCTGAGACCTGAAACTAATGCCCCTAGTGGAAGTATCACAAGGTTTCCCCAGTGGATGATACATATGACCGCCATCAAGTGGAAATCTGTCCTCGGTCTCGGCAACTTATGAACAGGTCATCAAAGCTCATGAAGCCCGCATTTTCGGTCAAATATTGAGGTCGGCTTATTCTGAAAATAGTCACATAACTTCACACGATCAACTTAATTTAATGCCAAGTCTCATTCAGTCATCAAGACCCTCCGCCTAGCAACTATCTCCAAACAACGTCTATCTGCTAACCCCTCCTGTTCTTCTGTCCACAACTTTAAGAACATTATCTCTCAGGTGCACTATATTCGCCAACACCTGGATTTTACAAAAGACAGAAACTCCTGTAGGTCCCAGCATCCCGTGCGCTGATCCGGTGAAAAGAGGTCTGGTCAAACAAACAATGCGTTTTGGCTGGGAAAAAAAGGAAATGCAGTAATGCGGTACTGTTGATGTTTTTTTTTGGTATTTTGTTTTCGTCTGCGTCGAACGTACTTTAGATCGGCAGATCTATTCGAGGCCAATGCAGTAGAAGGATAATGACAAGGTAAGAAAAGGTTTGTTTGTTCGTAGCCAGCTGATGGCTGTAGTAGGTGATTATAGTCTTTTGGGTACCGGCTCCTGGTTTCGTTGTCGAGGACGCACAGCAGAAAAGTCAAGAAAATCATAAGTATCGTGAAAGTCCGTAAGGATGTCGATCGTAACAGGTGAGTTTGACAAACAGTGAAATGGTCAACAAAGGTGATTTACAGGGAACGGAATAGTTGTGTATATGTATGCGTCTGCTTAAACTCGAGAGCGTACAGAAGACATGGTAGTATGAGAGTGTGTAAGTCCAGGCTGAGAGTGCGTAGAGTGCGCGTGGTTGTTTCCAGGACGGCCTCGCTTAGAGGTAAGGTGGAGGGTTCCAACATCATGCTTGCCTAGTCACTTGTTAGATTGTACGATTTCAGAGTACTATGCAGACTTACCATCGCAGCATGCTCGGACATTTTCGAGACGGTCAGCATCCCTATCCTGCCGCTCGATAATCTCCCTCACATCCTCAGCACTGTCGTGTGCCTCACTGGCCTCATAGATATGAACGTTCTGTGCACTGGGGCCCCGGCCACGAAGAGTTGAGAAGGTGCCAGACAGCTGGCTGCCTTTCCAGTAGCCACTCAGTTTGCTTAGTGTTCCGGCGGGACGCTGTGGCTGCGCCTTGGGCGTCAGAGTTGGGATGTTCATGGACATACCAACAGCGGGTGACTCATTACGGGTTGTTCGGGAATGGTAAGAGGACAGAGAAGGCGCGACTCCTGGGCGGGTTGCATGGCCCGGGCGTTGTCCAATTTGAGGGTTAAACTCATCCACATCCTCACGAGTGAAGTTCTCTGCGATATCTTCGACATTGGCTTGTTCGTTGTTGGTGCGGAGTAGTAAATACGAGAGAGCATTGAACCATGTCTCGTGTCGCTGCCCCGTCGCGCAGGTGAACTTGATAGTTCGGCCAGGCGAAATGATGACCAAGCTCTTGCGGTGGAGTCCTGGGGGGCTTGGGTTATCGTCGGTTACAACACGGACAGCCTCAATAGGAACACTCTTGGCCTTCAATTCGGTGCGTCCAGCAGTTGAAGGGTCTCGATCACTCCAATAAAGAGTCCTGGTGTAAGGGTGAACCCAGAAGTAGCGACGGTGTCGGTTCTCTGACATCTCACCACGACCTGTCTTGCGAGTATACTTCCAAAGATACTCTCCGATCATGGTCTGGGTAATGGCCTGAATCATGCGGGGATCAGTGTTGGGTCCGAAACCAGCAGGATCCATGCCCATCTCGCCAGGTCGGATGTTGAAGCGAGTATCAAGCTCTGAGGCGAACGATGACACAGATGACTTGCGCGATGTCGTTGTAAGCTTGGATGGTGATTGTCTTCCAAGCTCACCGTAGCTGACAGGATTGCGAGTAGCACGGGGTGTGCCGGCACGAAGAGACGGCGAGGCACCCTGTCCGGGAGTCGTGGGACGTTGCTTGAGTACAGATGCTGGCCATAGTGGGGGTCCCATGTTGTTCTGGTTGCTATGGGCTGAACCAGATCGTGCAGCCTCGATGACTTGACGGTGGTTGGCAGGCAGAGGAGGTGCATCATGCATGGATGTCATACCGCTTCTGGAGCTACCAGGACGAGCAAAAGATGCGTCAAAGACATCATCATCTCTATCTTGTCGGACGGGGCTCTCGAAACTGTCGCGCCGGTGGATTCTGACAGTACCAGTGGTACCAGTGGTTGCAGGCGTGTCAGGGCTCGTCATTGAAAGCTTCTTCTGAAGTCCAATAAGAGGTTGAGCACGAGCCTTAAACATGGCGTCAATAGCATCGGCAGTGAGAGATGTTTGTGCGCCCTGATCGTTCATGATGACCAACGGCTTGTCGAATGGTCGGTGAGAGTCGGGTGTGGCGGGCTCAGGAGTATCGCTTGGAGTCTGAGTATTCTCATCCATAAGAGGTGAAGAGCCTTGATCAATGTCACCATTGTAGGTTCTCTGATTGTCTGGGGTTCGGGGAATGTCCCGCTCCATAAATGGCGAGTGCATGTCGCGGGGAAGAATGAAACCCTCTCTCTTAGGGGTCCGTGGTGAGATGGGCATGGTCTCAACAGACTCGATAGAAGAAAATCCAAAGGCGGGCAGCGTGGGTGTCTTGTGGATAGGGCTGATGGGTTCAACACTCTCGGTAGCAATGGAAGAGATGGCCAAAGCTGGAGGGGCAGGTACTGCCTCGAGAACAGGCCTCACGTTCTCGGAAGTAATGCTAGAGAAGGCCAGAGATGGCGCAGGCTCGGAAACCGGCTGAACATCTTGCGTCGACAAACCAGAAAACACGAGTGTAGTTGGTGTGGGAGGCAACTCTTCCCTTGGTTCGCAACCTTCGGCATAGATAGTCGACATCTTCAGGGATGGCATGGAAACTACCTTCTCAGGCTCGCTGATGGGTTCGAGGGACTCAGCAACAATGAATGAGAGAGCCAAATCAGGAGCAGGAAGATCAGTTGGCTCAACGCACTCGCCCTTAACTGTAGAGAAGGAGAGCTCGGGAACCGGTGCTGATTCTGCAACAGGCTCGACAACCTCGCCCACAATTTTAGACATGGCGAGCTCAGGTGCCTTGGTGACAATAGGCTCAACATTCTCTCCTTGGATCACAGAGAAGCTCAGTGCAGGAGCTGGGGGCAGTGAGGGAGCGACAACGGCTGGCACAGTGGAATTGGTCTCCCGTTCCGCGATCGGCTGGACATGTTCGCTTCGGATTGTGGATAGAAGGAGCCTGGGAGCGGACACAGCCGGCTCAGAGATTGGCACAATGTGCTCACCCTTAATACCAGACATGCTAAGCTCAGGATTCTTGAATGCGATAGGCTCAACGTGTTCAGCAGTAATCGAGGACATGGACAATGCTGGAGGAGGAGGTACGAACATAACGGGCTCAGCACGAGGTTCAGCAATGGGCTCGACCTCCTCGGCAATGATGTTTGTCAACGACAAGTCAGGCAGAGGGGCCTCAGGTTCAGCCTTGGGTTCCAGGCTGTGTACCGCAATAGCAGACATGGTGAGCGTCGGAGCGGGAATCTCAGGCTCTGCGCGAGGTTCCAAGTGCTCAACAGCGATAGTGGACAGACTGAGGGCTGGAGGGAGGATGACAGGCTCGGCACGAGGCTCCAGCTCCTCAGAAATGATCGATGCCATTGTCAGATCAGGAAGAGGGCTCTCAGGCTCGGCCAAAGGCTCGACACTCTGGTTGGAGAGGGGTGTGAAGGTCAATGCCAGAGGAGTCGGGGGTACCACGACTTCTTCCCTTGGTTCGACATCCTCGGATGCGATTGAGGACATACTCAAGATCGGAGGTAGGATAGGAGAGAGCATAGAAGGAGGGGCGGGGAACTGAGCAAGCTTCTCTTCCATGTCAGGATCGTGCTGAGCACCAGCATCGCTGTAGGCCATAGATACTGGCCTAGAATTGCCGAAAGCGTAGTCAACGGGCCAAGAAGCAGGCGCACGCTGGCTCAGGGGACCAATAGCTGACTGCATGGAACCAGGACGGTTGGCAGTTACCACACTGACGGGCGATTCAGCAAAGTGCTCTTCTCCATCTTCCGTCATTGAGCCAGTTGAAACCGTCTGAGCCGACTGGAAGCCCGAGAGTCTGGGCACAATCTTAACAGGCTCAGTCATGACACCAGAATCGACCATGATGACCTTTGGCAGGGGAGGAACCGCAGGTCGTGGGGATGATCCTCGGCGGAAGGATCGGATGGAGCCAGGAGTCATAGAACGAGCACGAAGTCGGCTGGGGGTTCCAGGTCCGGCTGAGTCGTCGTCACTACCGTCGAAAT